CCGCGTGCTGAAGTGAGCTCGATAGTGTAGTCGACGACGCATGCAATTTCGCCGCGCAGCGTAAACCAAGCTTACCGACAATCTGTGCCATGTTGCTTCAGGTTTTTCCGGGCGGCGGTCCTGGCCGAGCTTGGGTGCGATGGTAGGAAGTGGGAGTGGGCGAAGCCTTCCGATGAAGAGGTGGAGGACAGGCTCGCCGACTGCGATCAACCCGTTCGAGATGTGAGTTCCGAACGAATCACCGTCCTATGTCATCCTTGTGCGATGCGATTGCCGAACGCGGTGCTCATCCTTGCGCTCTGAACTGTTGTATGCAGAAAGTGCCTGACGCCGTCCGGGACGGGGACGCGGGCTCCGGCCTGCTAGCAATGAGCGCGTTGTGCTGGGTGGTGAGGAGGATGGATCTCCTGACCGGCGCCATCCGTCGCAGTGAGACCAGCATGGACAAGGTCAACGTTTCGGGGTTGAAGGGGCTGCGGAATGGGATGATAACATTCGTCAAGGAGCACGTCGCTCTCAAACGGTCGGGCCATGTCGGAGTTGCTGCCGACGCCTGTGACGACGACGGCGAGGAGGCCCCTTTGGCATCCACAGCAATAGGTGTCGCCTACACCGTCGATGATGCGCGTGGGACTTCGATCGGAGAGCCCGGAGGCGGCGTCGACAAGGAAGATGAGGAGGCGGGAAGGGCGGTGACTGGGACCGCGGAGAAGAACCAGGAGGATAACGAGGATCAGGAAGAGGACCATGAGGATCGTGAGGAGGAGGAGGAGGAGGAGGAGGAGGAGGAGGAGGAGGAGGAGGAGGAGGAGGAGGAGGAGGAGGAGGAGGAGGAGGAGGAGGACAAGGAGGACGAGGACGAGGAGGAGGAGGAGGAGGAGGAGGAGGAGGAGGAGGAGGAGGAGGAGGAGGAGGAGGAGGAGGAGGAGGAGGAGGAGGCGGAGGAGGCGGAGAAGCAGCAAGAGGGGGAGCAGGAGGAAGAGGTCGAGTGGGAGTTGGAGGAAATGGAGGTGGAGTACGTAGAGGGAGCGGCGGAAACGGCTGGGAGGTCGGCAGATGTTGTGAACAAGGGAGGGGAGGATGCCGACGAGGAGAAAGTCGGCGTGGAGGAGGCTCACGGGGGGGGTGAGAAGGTCGTGGTCGGCGATGTGGATGGCGACGCGAAGGAAGTTATCGACCTCGAGGTCGTTGGAGAAGGGGATAACGCCGCGGCCACGAAGCCGACGGGCGTGGAAGCGCCTACCGAGACCACCGCAGGGAAGGCCGGGGGGGAGCGGTCTAGGGTGAAGAAGGCGGCGCGCGGTCATCCCGGTTCTTCCGCATCTGGTCGGCAGGCACCGCTGGACGTCGTCGAGCAGCTGCGACAGGAGAACAGGCGATTGACGGCAGAAAATGCCCGTATGGAGAAGGCGCTCGAAGATGAAAGGGGTCGGGTGGACAGGTTTGTGTTGGGGATGCGGGGACTCCTCGACAAGCTCCAGTCGTTGGCCGACCAGGTCGCCGTCTCCGACCATAATGCGGCGAAACGGCTGCTAGATGCGACGTCGGCCGTGTCGACAACCATCACGGACAACATCACCAACCACATGGACGAATCGTGGAAGGCGATGAAGTCCTTCGCCGAAAAGGCGTCGACGTGGTTGGCGGAAATCGACGGTCCGGAGGGAAGTATGGCAGTTGAACGCGCAAAAGCGGTCGCCGCCTTGGGCAACCACGTGGAAGCGGTGGTGGACGATGCGAAGCTGGGTTTGGAGGACTTCATCTCGAAGCACCTAGCCGCCGCGCAGGCCAACATTGCCGCCGCGGTAACTCGCACCATCGCCGTGCCGCCGCCGCCCCCGCCGCAGCCCACGCCAGCCTTCCCGGACGAGCTCATGAAGTCGTTCAAGGCGGACGTGTTGAAGGCGGTGACGGAGGCCACCCAGCAGTCGTTTGTTGCGTCCGGGTTAAAGCTCATGACCGAGGTGATCGGCAATGTGGCGGCTGGTCGGCGTGCGTCGTCGCCGTCGGCCAATGACGCCGATCCCGCGCAACGAAGGGAGGCCGACAAGCAGGGCCGGAAAAGGGCGGGCGGCGGAGATGATGCAGGGAGCGTGAAGCGGAGCAAGGGAGCCGATGGAGGCCGCGGCGTCGGCGCGGTGGGTCCAGGCGGCTCGCGGACTCGAGGTCAGAGCGTGGTCGACCAGCTCAAGAAGAACGGGGCCAAGGTGATAAGGTCGCACAGCAAGGGCGATGGAATCGGGAGTGCAGATGGGGGCCATGCCGACGAGGTTGCCGCACAAGACGGCGGGAAAGGCTTGAGTGACAAGGAGATCCCAACCGCTCAAACGGCGATAGATGGCGGCGCCAGAACCGTCAAGGGACCGTCTGTCGGGGTCGCGGGGACCACGTCGATTCCCCGAAAACCCCCTGCGGCTAGCAGCGCGCCGGTCGGCCCGTCAGCCGCCAACAACGATGGGCCGGCCCTTGTGGCTACTCCAGCTGCAGTGGGCCCGTCTGCCGCCAAGGGCGACGCGAAGGATGCTGCGGCTAACCGCGACGGTCCGTCCGCCTCTAAGGTGCCCGCAGCGGCGAACGCGCTCAGGGAAATGCTCCACCGCATGGAGGCCCATCGCAAGGACGTGCAGCAGCCTCCCTTGGTCGATGCCGCCCCCGCCGAAGCAGCACGCCGCACGGTCACTCCGCAGGTCGCCGCCACAACGCCCAGTGCCCCACATACCGCGCCTCTGGTCGCCGCCCATCCAACTGCGGACCCAAAGTCCGCATTGCTTCGCGCTCGGTTAGGCGCACGTAGTGCGGCAGCGCCAGCACAGACTCGGCCGGAAGCCGGCTCAAGCGCGACGCCGACGTCGGTAAACGAGGCGGCGGAGAAGGGCGTGAGGGCAGCGCTAGCCACCGGCGGCGGAGCCGTTGACCATGCACAGGCGTCGATAGGCCACAACGACGCCGACATTGCTGCCATCCAGAACCTGTTGGAATCGGTAAAACGCCCCGGGCACCCCGCTGCTCTGGCCATCTCGGACACGGCGCATGTGGAGCCCTTGGCGAATCCCCCCGCTGGTTCAGCGGAGCCAAAGACGACCACTGATGCTGTCGGCGATGGAGAGTCGAAACGGAAGGGGAAGGCCGACACAGTGAAAGGGAGGGCGAGCTCTCAGAGGAAAACACGGGCGATGTCGGCCGAGACAGGGAGGGATAAGGCGAAGGAGAAGTCGGTGGAGAAAGGGAAGGAGAAGGCGGAGGAGAAGGAGAAGGAGAAGGAGAAGGAGAAGGCGGCGGAGAAGGAGAAGGAGAAGGCGGCGGAGAAGGAGAAGGAGAAGGAGAAGAAGGAGAAGGAGGAGAAGGAGAAGGAGAAGGAGGAGAAGGAGAAGGAGAAGGAGAAGGAGAAAGGACGGAAGGGTCATGGCATCCGCCACGACAACTCGGGCGACGGTCTTGGGTGGGTGGGCGAGATTAAGGTGCTCGGCGCTAATCGATACATCGGCAAATCGCGCGAGAAGATGGAGCTGGCGTACTTGCACTCGATTGCGTACATCGTCTACGACGGCTACGTCAGCAAGGTCCTCATGGCCGAGCTCACCGGCTTGGAGGAAACCGAGTTGGAGAAGTGGAGGATGGTGTGGGAGGAGGTCAAGATTTTGCCGACAGGGATGTGGACGGTGATATGGGCACGGGGCGCGTACCTTCCAAAAACACGGTAAGTCGGATACCCTTTCGGCCGAGTGTTGATGACGATGTCGGAGTCACTAATGGTCGCTCGGTTTCATGTGATTGTGTGACAGGTTCGATGACATTCTCGGCCAGTATCGAGCGTACAAGAGCTCAGGCGATGCGCACCACGACGCGCTCTTGCCGGCGATCTGGTTCCCCGTCGATGCCGTCACAAAGGAAGGCCAGGAGAAGTCGGATGCTATGATCTCGGCCATGATAGGTCGCGTGTCCATGTGCGCTGCGTATGGGAAGGTCGCTGCGAGCGCGGCGAGGAAGGAGGGAGACACTGATGAGAAGACGGCGATTGCGGCACAGGCGTTATCGGCCTCCGCTTGCGCCGTGTGGTGCTTAGTCGAGAACGACGACGCCCAGGTGGTCGATGCTGTGGGCGAAGGGAAGGCGGCGGCGATGGTGGTCGGTGCGAGCGAGAAGACCGCCGGTGTCTTCAAGGAGGTCATGCAGGCGGTGCTGGAGGCCGAGATCGACCGGGAGCAACCCTTGGGGGAGGTTGCGCACAACGTCGCGCCGGCGCTGCAGAGTCTCGCTCTGCACCGGGTCTACCCGGGGGTGGATCATGAAGTCGAAGCCGACGTGATTGCTAGAGCGACAGTGGAGACATTGGCGTTCTGGGGAATGTGCCCCGTCGCCGGGCCGAAACTCGAAAAGATCGGCATCGCGGTGCCGTGTGACGCGCAGATGGAGTACGACATTGAACACAGGGGGAGGAAGGGGCAGAGAGGCAAGCAGGGCAAGGACAGCACGGGGAAGAAGGGGAAGAAGGGCAAGAAGGGCAAGGACAGCACGGCGGCGTAGTCGGCGCGCGGAGGGAGCGCGAGGTGGTCTGATTGCTAGTGTGTTTGTAACCTTTTTAGTGTTTGTAACTTTTTGTTTGTGTTTGCTTATGTGGTAGCGCATGTAACTTTTTGGTAGTGCATGACATGTAGAACCCTCGTCGGAGATGTCGACCTGATCGCTACCCTCTGAATTGCACACTCAAATGCTACTCGGGGATGAATTTTTGTCGGCGTATATGTCGGAGTCCGAAAATACGTCGGCGTCGTTGGATGTCTGTCGACATAGAGGGTTTGGCTGTCTGCAAGTATTTTCGGGGTGTTTGTTGGTCGGCGACCGACTGCAGTTACCATTGTTGGATCATCTATGTTCGCATGGGCATTGTTGTATGACCATCGTTTACCAACTTCATGAACAAAATAAGCATCATGGTTTGGTGCAATCGACCACAATTACAGCATCATCAAACTACGCGCACGCATATGCTCCGAAGGTACTCATGCCGCCTTCTTGCGCTTCGTCGGAGGACGCAGCACAGGTGCGGTCTGCCACTCCATGTCCGCCACGGTCTTCGGCATCTGCTCCTCCCAGGTGTCTGGAAACAGGACGGCGACCCAAGCGGTCGGCTTCAAGTTGACCGCCACCAGCGCACAGGCGAGACGTAGCTTCGAGACCGACTTGGGGCCCAGCCCCTTGACGCCCATGCCGGGCTCCTTGGACTTCGTCGGTGCGGTTCCCGGTTTGAGCACCGTGAGGGCATCGCAGAAGGTCCCGATGCTCGGCGCCGCGATCTTGTTCAGGGCAGCGACGACGGCTTCGGTGTCGGCATCGCCGTCGCTCGAGCGAAGAAGGCGCACCGCATCCATGGCCTTCAGCATGCGGCGCACCTTCTTGTCGTGTGCACCCTGCGTCACGCCTTTGAGGAGGGTGTGGCGGTCGACGAATCCCGGCTCGGCGACCCTATCGCAAAGACGGCGGGTGTCATCGGCGGTGGCGGAGTTCCAGAGGCGCCAAGCGTCCCTCACGGTCTTTGACTCCCGCCAAGGTTGCACCACGTTGAGCTCGTAACGAGCCTCGTCGAGCGTCTGTGGGGGTTTCTCGTACCGTTTCTTGTTTCTGGCCCCCGGACTGGCCGAATCCGCGGAGCCACTCTCGCTCGGCGTCTGCTCGTTCCCCGACGGCGGCGTCTCCGGCATCCTCCGTGCTTCTGACACACGGAGTGCCTCGGTGAGACGGGTTATCTCGGCGGTCAGCGTCGCGATGGTATCGTCGCGCTTCTCGAGTTCATCCTGAAGGTCGATCTTCTCGACCGCGGCGCGCTCCCTCTCGTACTTCAGCGTCTCCTTGAGGGACATGTTATGGTATTCGGTGTCCAAGCGAACGGAGATTTCCTGCAGCACAAGGCGGAAAGGCGAAAATTGTTTAGAATACACCCGTAACAGATAGGGTCCCGACGACGCCGACTTTAGCGACGGTTTACCTCTGCCTGAATGAGGGTTGGGTCCCGGCGTTTGTTGATCATTTCGGTGTCGATCTTCTCGACCCTTTTCGCCCAGTGCTGAAAGAGGGCAATCCGGCAGAGCTTCGAACCTTGGACGTACGGGTGCCAAGGGGTGCGGACGAGCTTCACCGCGAGGTCCTCGGCGACGATGCGGCGCATCATCTGGAGGGTACGCCAGAAGTGCACGGCGGCTTTGTCGGCGTCGCTCCCTTCGTTGGCAGCTCGCGTTTCCGCCTGCACATCGGCAGGTGATGTGGGTTAGTAAGGCGATGGGCAGCCAACGAAGCAATGGCGACGTAAGGTCATTGTCGGCGTCTATTAACATACATCGCGCAGCAGAGCATCCACGCCGGGGAAGATGTGCTCGGCGATGATGTCCAAGAGTTTGTCGGAGGGCTCGACCCTGTTGCGACCCAAGAAGTAGTCTTGCTTGCAACCCGAGTATCCGGCCTTCTTCATCACCACCCCAACGGGAATGGCTGTGATGTAAGCACGCGTCATCTTGTCGAGTGCCCAGTGACCCAGCTCGGCGATCTCGGCGCGAGGCGTCCCTTCAATGGCTAGCTCCTGCGCACCTCCGGCGCGAGCGGCGTGCACGTTCCGCTTGCAGAACACCTTGTTGGTCGTCCACAACTGCCGCGTCCAACGGTGGTGGCTGGAGGCGGAGAGCTCTTTTTGCTCCTTGTCGTTGCGGGCGAAGAAGAGGTGCTTCTTGTACCAGCGCTCGCGTTCGGTGGTGTCAAGCGGCGGAAGGAAGTCGACGCCGTTGAACTGACCGATCTGGTCGAGGATGAAGTGCAACCATAGCCCACAACTCCGCTTCCAGGTGTCGCGCCGCGTAGCTCTGCTGAAGACGGGCATCCTTGGAAGTCTTCGAGTTCCGCGCGGCGATCACCATGACGACCGGCTGGTTCTCCGGGTTTATCGACGAGGTGCTAGCCAGTCGGTACAAGAAGATGTCGGGGAGCGTGATCTCGCGGATGCTGGCGCCTCGCAGGAGAGTGTGGTGGGAGAGTAGCGTGAGCGCCTTGGTGAGCAGAAATCGCCACAGCGTCTGCGAAGGAGCGGTTGCCCGCGGGTTCCACGCCGACGCCGCCCATGTCGGCAGCACCTTCATCATGATCTGGCGGAACTGTTCGGCGGTGTATGTATCGCCGATGGTGCCGCGACGCCGGTCGGCACAATTCCTGCCCACAAAGCCACCGAGTATTTTGAGTTTGACGGCGTCGACTTCATAGTGACATGGACAGAGGTTGGCGGTGTCGACAAACTTACTTGACGTCCCTCTCGTTCTTGGTGCGGACCATGAACCGCACCTCCGATCTGACCACCGATATCTCCCGCATGATGCTCAGCTCCTTCTCCCGGTAGAGCGTCGCCTCCACTCTCGCCGCCATCTGGCATGCCTTTATGCGCCCGAGGAGCGTGTGCACCGTTGTACCTTGCACCGGCTGGGTTCGCGGGGCATTGTTCCCCTCCTCGATCGACTCGGCATCGAGCTGACACTCGCGTATCATGAACTTCACATAGGCGCGCAGCCGGGTTTCGGTTACCCTAGGGCCGTGCAGCCAGATGTACTCTCGGGGGACCTCGGCCACTTTGTCCCAATTCTTCTTCTTGTTGTCCCGGATGTAGTGGCCGATCTCGTCGACGTGCCTAAGCCTGTGCTCCTGGGGAAGCTTGTCGCGTATTTGCGTCAGCATTTTCGCCGCCCACCTCTTGTAATGGTAGATGAACGAGGTGTACAGCCTCAGCGTGCTATTCTTCTCCAAGGTTTGCAGGTGGCGTAGGGCGTATATGACCAGCACGTCGATGCTTGCGTAAACCATGTCGTCCTCGACGAAGTCTGCTGCTCTCCACTGTTCGCGTGGCACCGCCATGTTCTGCTCGTCCTCGTCCTCGTCCTGTTCTAGCATGTCATCTATGTATTCAAGTTCCCGCCGGAGGCGTTCTTCCAAGGTGCGCGGATTCGTGCTACGCGGAGGACGCTCGTCGTATTCGTCGTCGCTCTCCTCCTCCTCCTCCTCCTCATCATCAACCTGGTTTCCTGAGCCGCCCGGTACCGACGAAGGTCCAGGCTGCCCATCTTGCGTCGGTGTAGACTTACTAGCTGGCTTGGTAAACTCTCCTATCGGCGGTGGGGGAATGTCCTTGGTGAACTCCCCTTCTGGAATCTGTGTCAGTGCGTCAAGATCGTAGAGTAACTTGAGCGTCTCTTCGGGGGTAGAGGTGTCAATGTGGTCGGTTGGGGGACCAACGTCGGGCATGTCGACGTCTGCCATGAGGCCGCTCGTAGTTTGCTATACCGTCGACCGTGTTCGAGGTAAGGGATGGACCACCAGAGACGGTACTGAGTGTTCATATTTTTACCTTGCGGTGGACTCAGGGGGGATCCTCATCATCAACGGACCAGTTGAAAACTGCCTAAAATCTCTGAAACGCTAATTACCGCTTCAGAGAGCTGTGGGATGTTTTAGACGCGAAAATAGGATTGTGCTGTGATTCCTCAATTTCTGCTCGTTTGGGGTTTCCTCGCCCTAAATTTCGGCTCGTTTTGCGTGCCCACTATTCGCGTTTCTTGTCAACTCGCATACCCTCGATTTTGTTTGGTGCGTACAGAAATACGGTACAATGGAAAGTGGATACATACAGAACAAAATAGAAACTTATAATCTAAAAATACTAACTTCACCTACTTCTCAGATATAACATAGGCACAATCCGGACAGATATCCACAAATGATACCAAACCATCCGAGTTAAGTCAGCATGGTTCACGGAGGCATGTGAATCCTTATGCGGCAATGCAAAAAGAGTCAAACCTAGGTATGGTAAGAATTGGGATGGAGCAAATGAAAGTCCTTTCAAGGCGCCGTGTGACCGATGGCGTTCTTTTCCCGAAGCTCACACAGGTCTGCCTTCTCTGCAGCCATACGGGCCTGTGGAGGGCGGGGGTGGACGGAGAAAAAAGGGGAGGGGAGAAAAAGGGGTATGGATAGGAGTGGAGGTAAGAGGGAGATGAGAGTGGGAAGGGAAGCGGTGGGGAGAGGAAAGGGGCTTGCACTGACAACAAGCCAAGAAATCCTGTCATACTTGGACATTCAAAACGCAAGTGGCAAACTTGCCCGAGGTCCCCAGCACACAGAGCAAAAAAAATATAAACCATTTTTTAGCCTTTGAAAAACACCCTGACCAAAGGTGAATCGCCCTGTTATCGATCCCAGTACTCACGTGGAACTTGAGGTCGCTGATCTCGTCGTCTGCTGCCTTGATCCTGAACTTGAGCGCGTTCAGAGCAGCAAGGGCTGCACCTGACGGGAGATTCACTAATTTATTGAGTCCTATCACTCACTTGAAACTTGAGGTCGCTGATCTCGTCGTCTGCAATCTTGATCCTGAACTTGAGCGCGTTCAGAGCAGCAAGGGCTGCACCTGACGGGTCCGCACCTAGCGACCCCTCTCCCACACTGCTGCTTCCACCACCGCTGCTGCTGGTGCTGGTACTGCTGCTGCTCTCACCGCTGTTCTCTGTATCATGCCCATCCATACCAGCTCCATGGTCGTTTGCTGCACCCTCAGTTATCTGCATGGGCCGAGAGGCACAGCGGGAGGAGAGCAGAATGCCATGTGAAACTCAAAGAAATCCACGCATAGCTACGGCAGCAGCATGTGAAATCTATTTTTGTGGCGCCTCAAAGACAGAGGCACAGAGGGAGCAGAGTGCCATGTGAAACTCAAAACGAGTTTCACGCATAGCTGCTGCAGCATGTGAAGTCCGTGTCAAAGCAATGAGCTCAGTTGAAGTGAGTGAGGTGACTCGTAGCGAGAGAAATGCAACTGGGTCGTGACGACGTAGCACTGACCTGGAGGACAGCTTGGCAGACAGTGAGCAGTTTCTGTGCCACGTCAGCACTTCCCCTCTCCACCTCCTGCAATAAAAGGGAACCAGGGTATATAGGGAGCAGAGAACCACAGTTTGACCAAATGGGCAGCTTAGGGGGGTCTTCATCTCTATAGGGGAAGAGGGGAGAGGTAGCAGTTGGACCGCCACCACCCACCTCCAGTCACTGCTGCAGCCTCGCCTCCTCATCATAGTCAATCCTCTCTGCCTGCCCCGCCTTCCTCTCATGCTAGCAACACAACCCCACTTTTAGACAGACCCACCACCACTGCTCACCTCCAGTCGCTGCTGCTGATAGAATTGGAACTGAACTGATTGCTTGATAAGGAAGGCACTAGGCCTTAAGTACAAACAGGGTTGGGTTGAGCAAAGCTAGGGAAAGGATGGGATGGGAATCCTAGCAAATCTCCAATTGGTGAGTTGGCAGATTTGCAGGATTACGAGGGAATCCCAACCAGATAGGGTTGGGATTACAAATCTACACCCAACCTACAAAGTAACCTAACCGATATAGAATATAGTACAAAGTGTTGACTGACTATTTCTAACACACCCCCTAGGCTGACAACACTTCAGCCACATGGCGGCCCAACACCCATGGACGAGAGGAGGCGGTAGTGGTTTTGGCGAACAAGAGACTTGGTAAACAAGTCAGCAAGGTTGCAGTCGGAGGCAATGTGTTCAGCCTTCAGCTGCTCGCGCTGCACCAGCTCATGAAGAAAGTAGTGACGGACCTCAATGTGCTTGGTGCGGCCGTGGAAGACGGGGTCCTTTGTGAGATGAATGGTGCTCTCGTTGTCACACCAAAGCGTTGGGGCTGATTGAGGATACCCAAGTTCTGCCAGCAAGAAGGAGAGCCAACGGGCCTCTTGGGCAGCCATGGTCCCGGCATACAGCTCTGCCTCACAGGTCGACAGTGAGACGGAAGACGACCGAGTGGAGCGCCAACTGACAACCTATGTTGCGGAAGACGCAGGGACCGTCCTGCGTCTAGCGTCTAGACGCTGCGTCTAGACGCTAGACTCAAGACGCACCTTTAGACGCTAGACGCATGGGGGAAAAAATTTCGGTCAGCCCGAAAAAAAAATCGCGCGCGAAATTTCAACCCCTCCCATCCATTTCGACCTTGATAACATCCCCCAAACCTAGCTTTTAGCCCCACGCCTTATAATAGTATCAGCAGCTAGGACTAAAGTGTTGCACGCCTCTGCTCTACAATGAGCCGACCAAATAAAGACGTTGTAGAAGAAGCATCGGAGGAGGTGTGAGAGAAATTGAGAAACGGAAAGCTAAGTCGAAATTGGAATTCGTCCCCCGCAGCCAACAGATTTGTGAACCATTTCGTGACCAACCAATTCCGCCTCCCATTACCGATCTTCACCGCACTGAATCTAGAAAACCCAACCAATTTGAGATATGAAATTTTGAGCGTCAATGTTAGATCTAGAAGTTCTAGATCTCGATGAATGTCCCAGCAGACTAATTCGTCTGCTATACCCAGGTCGTCTTCATCCCATTCCCCCTCCCCCTTCCCATGGCCTATAGAAGATTTTTTAGGCTGCCCGTACAATTTTTTTGGCCTGCCCGGGGTTTCGTCTAATATGCGTCTAATCTGGCCTGAAATGCGTCTAGCGTCTTAGACGCTGCGTCTAGACGCAACCGTCTAAGACGCTAGACGCGTCTTCCGCAACATAGCTGACAACCCCACTGCCAAGGGTAAAGCAATATCCTTGGGAAGAGCGCCGATCACTCTGGTCATCAGCATAGGACGAGTCACTGTACCCCTCAAGGCGAACAGGGGAAGAGCCGCCAAGAGTGAGCACATAGTCCAGTGTGCCTTTGAGATAGCGGAGGACCCGCTTGGCGGCAGACCAGTGGTGGCTCGTGAAGCGACCAGGTGCAACGTAGCGAGACAGGACACTGACTGGATAGGCCAAATCTGGTCGAGTGCACATCATCGCGTACATGAGGGAACCGACGAGCTCGGGGTAAGCCTCATCACAGGGCTCAGGTGAGGGAACAGAGGGTGCAGTGAGTTGGTGCTGCAGAGAGAGTGGGGTGGGCATTGAAGCTGCTTCCTGCATCTTAAACCTGGTCAGAACGTTGTTGATGTAGAACTTCTACGAGAGGGTGATGGTGCGGGCCGTGCGATCACGTGTGATTTCCATGCCCAAATAGTTCGTCAGTTTCCCAAGATTCTTCATAGCCAGCTTCTCACCAAGTGCGGTTTTGACTGCTGCCAACTCAGTCTGATCCTTGGTGACAATGATCATGTCATCGACATAAACCAAGATGAAGAAGCGGGATGGTGTTGCTCGGATGAAGAGGCTGGGGTCAGAGGTGGATGGGTGAAAGTCGAGGGACCCTAAGGTGCTCTTGAGCTTGTTGTGCCATTCCCGGGGTGCTTGCTTGAGGCCATAGACTGGTCGATTCAGCTTCCATACAGTGCCTGGTGGAAAAGGAGCTGGAAATCCTTCGGGCCGCTCCATGTAGATTTCCTCTCGAAGGATCCCTTGCAGAAACGCAGGACACATCCATGCAGTCAACCTCCATGTCATCTCGAGCGGCAACATCGAGAAGGGTGCGCAGTGTGGGAGGTTTGGCGGTGGGAGAGAATGTCTCAAAGTAGTCCAGTCCATGCTTTTGGGTAAATCCCTTGGCACAGTACCGGGCTTTGAAGACGGGAAATTCGCCTGGAAGTTGCTTCACCCGGAAAACCCATTTTCCCTTCACAATGTTGACGCCGGAGGGAGGAGAGACATCTGTGAAAGTTCCTGTGTGAATGAAGGCCTCACACTCTGCGACAATGGCCCCTAGCCACTGAGCGGCGTGAGGACCAGAAACTGCTTCAGCATAGGTGAGAGGTGTGGGGATGGAGGGGTTGTCCGAGAAGTTGAGGGTGGGAGATTCTGCGATATCTGGAAAGAGGGAGCAAAGTGCGTGTATGGCTGAGTCAATCTCAATCAACTCCTCATGTCTGTCCTCAAGAAGGGAGGGCATGAGCGAATAATCACCCCCGACAGGAGGAGGATTGAGAGAGACACGAATGGAAAGGGAAAGAGGCTTGGGAGCTTTGCGCGAGCGGGTGCGACCAGCGATGGGGGAGGGAGGCGGAGCTGGAGGAGGAGAAGCAGCAGGTGTAGTGGCAGGATCAGGAACAGCAGCTGGATCAAGAGCAGGAGCTGGATCAGGAGGAGGAGCTGGATCAGGAGGAGGAGTAGCAGCAGGAGGACGGCGTTGGTAGGTTTTGAGAGGAATGGGCTCGGGGGCGGGAAGGAGCGGGGGAGACTGCGTGGTGCTGGAAGGGGAAGCGGGTGACGGGGGGTCGGAAACTGTGGAGGGGGCGAGAAGAGGAGGAGATGGAGTGGTGGTAGGAGGAAGGCTGTCAAAGTCAGCCCAAGTAAGAGAAGGAGGCGGAGGAGAAGGAGAAACTGTGGAGGAGGGGTAGAATGGGTGGGATTCATCGAAGAAAACATCTCGGCTGCGATAAAGTTTGTTTGTGGTAGGATGGAGGAAGAGGTAGTCTGGCGAGTCCGAGTTGTGCCCGAGGTACACGCACGTGATTGTTTTCGGAGCAAGCTTGTCGCCAGCTGCACGACGGGCTTGGGAGTTGAGGAGAACATAGAAAGTGCAACCCCATACACGAAGAGGGCGGACGGACGGCTTTTGACCCGTCCACAGCTCTGCGGGGGTGGTGTGGGTGTGGTGAGGATGAGGATGGAGATTGTGGAGGGCGGCAGCATGGAGCATGGCGTATCCCCAAAGAGAGGGAGGGGCGGAAGCATGAGTGAGGAGGCAGCGAGCAATCTGCACCAGGATGCGGTTTCGGCTCTCAGCAACACCGTTCTGTTGAGGGCTGTCTGGGAGGGTGAAGGTCTGACGAATACCCTCAGTAGAGCAGAAAGCTTTGAGAGTGTTGTTGCGGAATTCACCGCCACCGTCAGAGTGAAGAATCTTGATTTTGGTTTTGAAGTGTGAATGAGCCTGCCTTGCCCATTCCATGATAATGGCTGGGGCTTCAGACTTGGCGGTGAGAAGGTGAACGGACACATAGCGGGAATAGTCATCAACGATGACAAGGAAGTAGAAGTGTCCGCCACGGGAACGAACAGGAGCTGGACCCCAAAGGTCCATGTGTACGCGATCAAGAGGTGCGGTAGAGGTGGACTCAGTGGGAGGATGGGGCTGTTCCCGAAGCTTGCTCTGTGCACAGTCAAGGCAAGGTGGTCTAGAAAGAGAAGGGGGTTGTGGAAGTGAGGCGGGCAGCCCATGAAGGAGTTGTTTGGTGGCAAGGTCTGAAAGTGCGCGGAAGTTGATGTGGCCGAGGCGGTGATGAAATAGCATAGTCTTGTCATTGAGGAGGCGGCAGTGACATGAGGGGGAGTCTGAGGATGGAAGCGGAAGGTTGGTGAGGGAGCATGTTTGAACGGGAGGTACAACTAGTGTGTACAGGTTGTTGGAGTTGAGGGTGAAGCGGGCAAGATGGAGTCCGGTTTTGGCGTCAAACATGTCACAGTAGTCAACATCATTGGGAAAGATGGTGATCACGCCTGCGTGTTGGATTTCCCGCTGTGCAAGAAGGTTGTAGCGGAGGGTAGGGGCACAGATGCCAGTGACTGTGCCGGATGGGAAAGCTGGACAGGAAACTGTGGAGGACCCATGGCATTGGATGGAGAAGCTAGAATCGGCTCCAAGGAGTGAGGTGGGAGCCTGGTAGGGAACGAAGGCAGTTTGGTCTTTAAGCACTGTGTGGGTGGCACCACTGTCTAATATGAACTCAATTCCCTGTGTGGTTGAAACACCGATGTACTGCGACCCCTTCTCATTAATAAGACCAGCACCAGAGAACAACAGGTTAAGGCGAACATCAGATGGGGCACTAGCAAATGCCTGAGCAGGTTCCTCCACTGCCTCGACCTGGTTCACGCGACGGGGTGGTGCCCAGTTGGGAGGGCGCTTGTCCTTGGAGACACCGTGGACGTCATACCACTCGTCATCTCGCTTCTTGAAGCAAGTTGCCTCAGGGTGGTTGGTGCCGTTGCATTTCTGCCCCGCACGTGGACCCTTCCTAATGAGGTACTGGCATGGGGGAAAGGAGTTGCGCCTCTGGCCCTGCTGGGAACGAAATGGGATGCCAAGGGAGTAGCGCACAGCATTGACGGATGCCTGGGCTGCAAGGTCTTTTTCGGCAGAGAGAAGGGCCGAAGCGACTTTCTCGAAGGTGAGTTCCTTGGTGGGGAGCTGCTTGAGCATGGAACTGGTGACGTTGTAGGCCGGGGTGAGTCCAACGAGAAGCCCAGCAGCAGGTGCCTGTTCGGGGAAGGTGATCCCAATGTCCTTGAGCTCCTCATGGATGTTGCGGATTTCAGAGATGTAGTCTGCCATGCCCGGGCATTCCTCAAGGCGGATTTGGAACATGCGAGGAATGAGGATTGCAACTCCCACGGCAGTTTTGTCATGAAAGCGATCCTGGAGGTACTTCCAAATGTCATGCGCAGAGCGGAAGGTGCGGTAGGACTTGACTAACTCGACTGGGGTGGTGGTGATGAAAACCCTAATCACTGCCGCATCCGCCTGCTCCCAGATGACTGAAGTCCGTCTCATACTTGGTGGTTTTAACGTCGAAAGCAAGCTTGGCTGTGGCAGTGGCGCCTTCGCCGAGAGGATCGGGAGGGAGAGGCATCTTCCCCTTGCCGCGATTGAGGAGGATGTCCTTGAGGCAAATCCCCTTGAGCTCCGAGCTAAGGAGGTGCTTCTCCACTCCATAGCACCACTCCCCGAAATTGGTGCTCGTGCCGTTGGGAGCAAGGTTAAGGATGATGAGGTTTCCGACGAGAGTGGAAGTTGAAGTTGCCATTTCGCGCGGAGCGCAGCGCTAAAGTCTCCGATACGTAGCGGAGCAAAGCGGAGCAGAGTTCGGGTGATTTTGGAAATTGAGGAAGTTCGAAACGCGATTTTGGCAATAGAATGCCCGTACTATACCCTGATATACTGCTTCGCCAATGCCCCCTGTTCTGCTTCGCTGCTGCCCCTGTTCCGCTTCTCTGCTGCGCCGCTGACCTGTTCTGCTGCGCCGCTGACCTGTTCTGCTGCGCCGCTGGACCTGTTCTGCTGCGCCGCTGAACCTGTTCTGCTGCGCCGCTGAACCTGTTCCGCTGCGCCGCTGAACCTGTTCCGCTGCGCCGCTGAACCTGTTCCGCTGCGCCGCTGAACCTGTTCCGCTGCGCCGCTGAACCTGTTCCGCTGCGCCGCTGAACCTGTTCCGCTGCGCCGCTGAACCTGTTCCGCTGCGCCGCTGAAAACCTGTTCCGCTGCGCCGCTGGACCTGTTCCGCTGCGCCGCTGAAAACCTGTTCCGCTGCGCCGCTGGACCTGTTCCGCTGCGCCGCTGAAAACCTGTTCGAAGTTAAGAAGATGCGAAAATTGTCACGGAGATATAAAAACCAGAAGCTTACGATGAAGGAAGTCGAAAGCTGAGAATGTCGCCGACGAAAAACGAGATGCGCGATGAAGGAAGCCGAATGCGCGCTTGACCGGAGCGACGATGTGAAGTTTCTGAAAAACGCTAAGCGTAGGAGCCGGGAACCGAAATAGGCATAGCCTAAAAGGAGAGAACCATCGGGACGCCAAGGATCGGATTCCGCGTGAGCGGAATTTACTAGCTCGATACCATGATAGAATTGGAACTGAACTGATTGCTTGATAAGGAAGGCACTAGGCCTTAAGTACAAACAGGGTTGGGTTGAGCAAAGCTAGGGAAAGGATGGGATGGGAATCCTAGCAAATCTCCAATTGGTGAGTTGGCAGATTTGCAGGATTACGAGGGAATCCCAACCAGATAGGGTTGGGATTACAAATCTACACCCAACCTACAAAGTAACCTAACCGATATAGAATATAGTACAAAGTGTTGACTGACTATTTCTAACAGCTGCAGCCTCGCCTCCTCATCATAGTCAATCCTCTCTGCCTGCCCCGCCTTCCTCTCATGCTAGCAACACAACCCCACTTTTAGACAGACCCACCACCACTGCTCACCTCCAGTCGCTGCTGGAGCCTTGCCTCCTCATCATAGTCAATCCTCTCTGCCTGCCCCGCCTTCCTCTCATGCTAGCAACACAACCCCACTTTTAGACAGACCCACCACCACTGCTCACCTCCAGTCGCTGCTGCAGCCTCGCCTCCTCATCATAGTCAATCCTCTCTGCCTGCCCCGCCTTCCTCTCATGCTAGCAACACAACCCCACTTTTAGACAGACCCACCACCACTGCTCACCTCCAGTCGCTGCTGCAGCCTCGCCTCCTCATCAAAGTCAATCCTCTCTGCCTGCCCCGCCTTCCTCTCATGCTAGCAACACAACCCCACTTTTAGACAGACCCACCACCACTGCTCACCTCCAGTCGCTGCTGCAGCCTCGCCTCCTCATCATAGTCAATCCTCTCTGCCTGCCCGGCCTTCCTCTCATGCTAGCAACACAACCCCACTTTTAGACAGACCCACCACCACTGCTCACCTCCAGTCGCTGCTGCAGCCTCGCCTCCTCATCATAGTCAATCCTCTCTGCCTGCCCCGCCTTCCTCTCATGCTAGCAACACAACCCCACTTTTAGACAGACCCACCACCACTGCTCACCTCCAGTCGCTGCTGCAGCCTCGCCTCCTCATCATAGTCAAACCTCTCCGCGTGCTCCACCTTGCGTCTGTGCTAACCCCTCTGGTGCTACGTCCCACCACCACCACCAACACTATTACCCACCTCCAGTCGCTGCTGCAGCCTCGCCTCCTCATCAAAATCAATCTTCTCCGCGTGCCCGGCCTTCTTCCTGTGTCGCCCCACCTCCTCCTCCAGCCGCTTCACCCGCCCCTCCATGCGCTTCACTGCTGCTGCCATCTCCTCGTTCTGCGCCCTCAGGGTGCTGTTCTCCACCTGTGTGAGGGGGAGAGGAGGGCGGCAGAGATGGGGGAAGGAGAGGAGGGGTTGGGATTGTGGCTTCACCCGCCCCTCCATGTGCTTCACTGCTGCTGCCATCTCCTCCTTCTGCGCCCTCAGGGTGGTGTTCTCCACCTGTGCAAAAAAGAATCATAGGGGGGAAAGCGGGGGAAAGCGTGGAGGGAGTGTGGGGGAGGGAAAAGGCGAAGGGTGGAAGGGAGAGAGGAGTTGAGGTAGAGGCTTCACCCGCCCCTCCATATGCTTCACTGTTGCTGCCAGCTCCTCGTTCTGCGCCCTCAGAGCAACGTTGTCCGCCTGAGCAGGTGGTAAGTTTAGTTTTGAGTGAACTCAAAATTAAGTTTAGTTTAGTTTTGAGTCGACTCAAAACTCAGCCCCTCGTTCTGTGCCCTCAGAGCGACGTTGTCTGCCTGAGCAGGTCGAAAGAAACGGAAAAATGGAGGTGGAAAGGGAAAGCAAGGGGGTTCAAGATGGCGTGGATTCACGTTCCCTGCTACACAACACAATTCGCTGCTGCTGCTAGCCGCGCCAGCTCAACCCAACCTCAGCTTGGAAACACGTGCACTGGTTAGGGCTGTGGCATTACACCACCCTCCACACCCCCACACACCTTGAGCTTGAATGCGCTGGTTTGGGCTGTGCTGCGGCTGCTGCCCCACCAGCCTCTGCAGCTCAACCCACTCTAATCTGGAATAGTCATCCTTCCCTTGATCTCGTACCTTGACCTTGGAAAACACGTGAATGCGCTGCTTCGGCTTGTGCTGCATCACCAGCCCAGCCAGTTCGTGAGGTGACATCCGAGTCAACTCAAAGGTCTCCCTATTCACACCCCAGCTCCCCCTCTGTTGTATTCCAACTAAACCCACCCTCAACTTGGAAAATTTAACCCTCTATCTATGTCGCACCTTGACCTTGGAAAACGTGTGAATGCGCTGTTTCGGGTTGTGCTGCCCCACCAGCCCCACAAGCTCGCCCCACTCTAATCTGGAATAGCCATCCTCCCCTCAATCTCCCTCTATCTATGTCGCACCTTGACCTTGGAAAACGTGTGAATGCGCTGTTTCGGGTTGTGCTGCCCCACCAGCCCCACAAGCTCGCCCCACTCTAATCTGGAATAGCCATCCTCCCCTCAATCTCCCTCTATCTATGTCGCACCTTGACCTTGGAAAACGTGTGAATGCGCTGTTTCGGGTTGTGCTGCCCCACCAGCCCCACAAGCTCGCCCTCTGCCTTCTCCAGCTGCTGCTGCACGCCCTCCAGTTGTTGCTGGTTGGGGAAGGAAAGAGGGTCCAAGGAAGGGAGATAAAAGAAAGGCTGATTGAACGAATCATCATGAGACCAGCCCACGCCAGCCTCTCCATCTCTCCCTCTGCCTCTTACAACCTGCTGCTACACGCCCTCCAGTTGTTTGCTGGCGGGGGAGGAGAGAGGAGGGGTGGAAGGGATGCCTTCTCTGAAGCACTGCCTCGTGCTGCTGCTCTGACTGCCGCTGCTGCAGTGACATTTGAGTCGACTCAGAAGTCGCCCTCCAGTTGTTTGCTGGCGGGGGAAGAGAGAGGAGGGGTGGAAGGGATGCCTTCTCTGAAGCACTGCCTCGCGCTATTCTGGCTGCAGCTGCTGCTGTGCCTGCTGCTGCACTGCACCAAAAGACAGTTTCTAAGGCGCCCTAGAAGCACACTCTCACACTGAGCATTCTCCTGAGAGAGCGCCTGGTCCCTCTCCAGGCACGTGTCCGCCATGCTCTCTGCAGCACTACCTCTGACCGCTGCACTGAAAGACAGTTTCTAAGGCGCCCTAGAAGCACACTCTCACGCTAATCATTCTCCTGAGAGAGCGCCTGGTCCCACTCCAGGCACGTGTCCGCCATGCTCTCTGCAGCACTGCCTCTGACCGCTGCACTGAAAGACAGTTTCTAAGGCGCCCTAGAAGCACACTCTCACGCTGATCATTCTCCTGAGAGAGCGCCTGGTCCCACTCCAGGCACGTGTCCGCCATGCTCTCTGCCGCAGTGCCTCTGACCGCTGCACTGAAAGACAGTTTCTAAGGCGCCCTAGAAGCACACTCTCACGCTGATCATTCACGTGGTCCCTCTGCTGGCAAGTGTCTGCCATGTTCTCTGCAGCACTGCCTCTGACTGCTGCACTGCCTGCTGCTGTGCTGGATGCCTTCTGTGCTGGCTGTTGCTGCTGCACTAAGAAACCGTTTTTTATGAGTTGTAGAACACACTCTCACCTTGAGGTGAGCATTCTCCTGAGAGAGCGCCTGGTCCCTCTCCAGGCACTTGTCCGCCATGCTCTCTGCAGCACTGCCTCTGACTGCTGCACTGCCTCTGACTGCTGCACTTCCTGCTGCTGCACTGCCTGCTGCTGTGCTGGATGTTGCTGCTGCACTAAGAAGCTGTTCCTGAGGAGTTGTAGAAACCCGCTCTCACCTTGAGGTGCGCATTTTCCTGGGTGATTGCGTGGTTCGTCTGCATGCACTTGTCCGCCATGCTCCTTTGCAGCATTGCATGCCGCTGCTGAACCAAACAGCTGTTTCTGAAGCGCAATAGAAACACACTCTCACCTTGAGGTGAGCGTTCTCCTGGGTGATTGCGTGGTTCGTCTGCATGCACTTGTCCGCCATGCTCCTCTGCAGAACTGCCTCTGACCGAATCTGCTGTATCTCCACCAGAAACCTGGGTGATCGTGATGGGGCGGACAGATTGGGGAATAATGACACACACAGACCGCAAGCAGCAGTACATAACACCGCATGTGCTGCACTTGTCTGCAGCACTGCTTCTGAGAGCATTTGCTGTGTCTCCACCAGGAACCTGGGTGATCTGGGTGGGGCGGAAAGAAAACACTAGGGAATTTGTGGGACACAGAAACTGCAATGCATAGCAGCAGCACCACATGAAGCCGCGCTTCCTGCACGATAAATCTCCACCGCCAGAATTTGCAATAAATGGATGATGGGGAAGCACAGACGAACAGACAGCGAGTCCCGAATGCTTTGTAAGTGTGTGTTGAGAAATTTCAAAAGAAGAAGCCAGTGAAAAATGGTTTCCAGAAGTGCAGGTTTTAAAACCTTGGTGCAAGCAACACCAGAGGAGTGGGGAATGGATGAAATGAGGTGCGGGAAAGCGGAGCAGAGAGTCGAATGAGGAATGGTTGAGGTACGTCTCTTTCTCAGAATGAGAGGTGTCAGGGCAGAGAGAGAGCAGGCTTTTGAGGCGCCTCAAATGTTCAGAGCAGAGAGGGCAGGTGAGAAGGCAAGGGCAGCGTACTTGTCTTTCTCGTGAAGGAGGAGGTCCTGCTGCGTGCGAAGCTGGCGAATCTCATGATCCTGGCAGAAGAAGCAACAAGGGGGGGAGGTCGGAAGGGAAGGGATACGGAAGGTAAGTCACGAAGTCAAGGGGAGAAAAAGGGCGAAGGTACGGACGTTCGAAGCTGGCGAATCTCGTGATCCTGGCAGAAGAAGCAACGAGGGGGGGAGGTCGGAAGGGAAGGGATACGGAAGGTAAGTCACGAAGTCAAGGGGAGAAAAAGGGCGAAGGTACGGACGTTCGAAGCTGGCGAATCTCGTGATCCTGGCAGAAGAAGCAACGAGGGGGGGAGGTCGGAAGGGAAGGGATACGGAAGGTAAGTCACGAAGTCAAGGGGAGAAAAAGGGCGAAGGTACGGACGTTCGAAGCTGGCGAATCTCGTGATCCTGGCAGAAGAAGCAACGAGGGGGGGAGGTCGGAAGGGAAGGGATACGGAAGGTAAGTCACGAAGTCAAGGGGAGAAAAAGGGCGAAGGTACGGACGTTCGAAGCTGGCGAATCTCGTGATCCTGGCAGAAGAAGCAACGAGGGGGGGAGGTGGGAAGGGAAGGGACAGGGAAGGGAAGGGTGAAGGCAAGCACGTTGGCCGGAAAGCTATGGCCCTGGTGGAGGCGAGACGACGAGGAGAGGATGAGAGGGCATGGGTGGAGGGTATTTTGAGTCGACTCAAAACACTAAGGAAAGCACGTTGGCTGGAAAGCTATGGCCCTCGTGGTGGCGAGGCTACAAGGAGAGGATGAGAGGGCGTGGGTGGAGGGCATTTTGAGTCGACTCAAAACACGAAGGCAAGCACGTTGGCCGGAAAGATATGGTCCTGGTGGAGGCGAGGCGAGGAGGAGAGGATGCGAGGGCGTGGGTGGAGGGCATTTTGAGTCGACTCAAAACACGAAGGCAAGCACGTTGGCCGGAAAGATATGGTCCTGGTGGAGGCGAGGCGAGGAGGAGAGGATGCGAGGGCGTGGGTGGAGAGAAAACTTGCCACCGTGGCAGGGTTGCTGATTGAAGGAGCCATCTGTGCCACATGAAGTGCATGATTGAGGAGAGCATGGAACATTCTGGGAGCGGGAGTAACAACCAAGGCCACCAACCCACTTAATGCATCACCTGTTTGCTGAGGCCCCTCAACACCTGAGCGTGGCAACCCACCTTTTGCAGCACTTGCTGGTGCCTCCTCAATGCCTTTGCCTTTAGCAACTCCACTGCTGCCCCTCCTGCTGCTGCACCTGCTGCATCAGGCGAGCCTCCCCCATCCGCGGCCGCTTCACTGCCTCCAATACCCGACTCTGATGCCGATCCTGCTGTTTCAAGAATGGAGCCCATGCCCATGCCCATTCCCATGCCCATTCCCATGCCCATGCCCATGCCCATTCCCGTCGCCCCAGGTGACCCCTCTTGTGTGCTTCGTCTGCTCCTCGCCCCCGTGGGTGCGGGGGTGCTCATGGCAGCGAGTGAGCCGCGGACTGACTGCTCCGATGCACACAGCTGGGCGTGAAGCAGGCGGTTCTGGTATGGATGGGAGGGACGGGAGGGATGGGAGGGATGGGAAGGATAGGCGCACGGGAAGGTTGGGTTGTGATGAAGGAAAATCTGCGGTGGAGTGCTCATGGCAGCGAGTGAGCCGCGGACTGACTGCTCCGATGCACACAGCTGGGCGTGAAGCAGGCGGTTCTGGGGGCATGGAGAGATGGGGGCATGGGAAAGAGCAGCGAGAATGAAAACACGCCTGCGCTGGAGTGCTCATGGCAGAGCGTGACCCGTGCACTGACTGCTCTGACGCTCTCAGCTGGGCGAGCAGTGTATGGTTCTGCAGGTATGGGGGCTATCGGAGGGATGAGAGGGATGGGGTAATGCGGGGATGAGAGGGATGGGGGCATGGGTGCATGGGGGCAGGGAGGGATGAGAGGGATGAGAGGGATGAGAGGGATGAGAGGGATGGGGTAATGCGGGGATGAGAGGGATGGGGGCATGGATGCATGGGGGCAGGGAGGGATGAGAGGGATGAGAGGGATGAGAGGGATGAGAGGGATGGGGGATGGGTGATGAGAGGGATGGGGGATGGGTGATGAGAGGGATGGGGTAATGCGGGGATGAGAGGGATGGGGGCATGGGTGCATGGGGGCAGGGAGGGATGAGAGGGATGAGAGGGATGAGAGGGATGAGAGGGATGAGAGGGATGGGGGATGGGTGATGAGAGGGATGGGGGATGGGTGATGAGAGGGATGGGGGCATGGACAGGAAGGGGGGCGAGTTGAGAGCGATAGGGGCATGGCCAGGCTTTCACAATGCAGTGCTAGAAAAGGTGAAAGTTGTTGTGGGACATCTCCCAAGTACGCACCTCCTTCTGAAGAACTTCAATCTGCTTCACCAGCTGCTTCACCTCGCCCTCCTTCCTCTCCATCTCCCTCTCCCTCTCCCTCTCAATCCTCCCACTCCACCACTCATCACCACTCCCCACCTCTCCCTCCCTCCCATGCTCCAACCCGCTAGCAGCACACACCACACTTCCATCCAGACGTGTAGGCAAGCTCATTCTCCCACCCTGCCTCCCTCTCCCCAATTCACGAGAAGCCGAGAAGAGCACTGGAGTGCCATGTGGCTGCTGCACGCTCACTGCCGACACCCCATCTGTTCCCACGTCAGCAGCACGAACAGGAGTACTCAGGACCCCCTTCCCATCCCCCTCCCCACCTTCTTCCCACCCTGCCCTTTCCCCATCTCCCGTCTCCTCCTCACTCCTCATTTCCTCCCCACCCTCTACCTCCCCCACTTCCTCCTCTCCCTTCTCCCTCTCCCCATTCTCCTCCGCCCCACAATCCGCCCTCTGATCCAGCAGCCATCTCTCCCTCTCCAGCACCTCTCTAACTGCTCGCATCTGCTCCACCTCCCTCCTCTGCTTCTCCCTCTCAGCTCTGAACCCTGCCAGTTCAGCATCCATCTGTGCTCCTTGCCCTTCCAGCGCAGCACACGTGGCCCTCAGCTGCTCCTCCTCTGCCCGTCTCTCATCCTCCGTCTGCCTCCTTCCCTCCTTCGCTCGCTGCCCTTTCCCCTCTGCCTTCACCGCCGGTGTAACCTCCCCCATCTCTCCCATTTCCTCCACCTCCTCCTGCTCGATCCTCTCTGCATCGATCCCCTCCAAACCTGATGGAATCTCATCCTGATTGTTCTCTCCCTGCACATCCCCTTCACCCGCCTCCTCATCCCCCCTCCTCTCCTCCACCTCCCTCTTCCTCTCCTTCTCCCCCTCCCTCCTCTCATCCACCGCCCTCCTCTTCTCCTCCACCTCCTTCCTCTCCCTCTCCACCCTCTCCTCCTCTCTTTCCACCTCCCTCTCCCTCACCCTCCCATCCCAAATCCTCGCTCCAATCGCTCCAATCGCAAGCTCAAAGCTCTCCCTCCTCTCCTTCCCTGGCACAGCCACCACATCCCCTTCCTCCAACCCCAACATCCCCCTCAGCACCCCATTCTCGTCCACCAAAACCCTCACCTCCTTCTCCGCTTTCCACACTGCCTCATCCGCCTCTCTCCTCTCCTCCTCCACTCTCTCCTTCCCCTCCTTCACCCTCCTCAGCTCTTTCTGAACCAGCTCCAGAACCACCCTCCCCCAGTTATACCTCACACCCATGTCATACCAACATCCCCCTGGATATTGCACCTCTTGCCGGTGAGTCTCCCAGGCTCCCCACGTGTCCTCCCACACTCCCAGCTTCACCGTCACCTCTTCCAACTCCCTCCGACTCCTCTCCAAATCCTCCTTATGCCTCCGAATCTCCTCCTCTTTCCCCTCAACCTCCTCTCGCACCCGCAACAACTCCCCCTCCAGCTCCTCCCGAGACTGCCCCTGCTCCAGCCCCCCTTCTCCTTCCATCTTCACCATTCCAAACCGACCCATACCTTCCAGATCTTCCAGTATCCCCTGCAGCAGCATCACCTCTGCATTCGCCCTGACTGCTTCTGCCTCCTCACTCTGCATCAGACCCTCCAGAACCTCCAGCCTCTCTCTCACACTCTCCTCTTCCTCCAGCCTCTCTTTCACTCTCTCCCCTGCCAAACGCGCCTCTTCCTGCGCCTCCTGCACCTTCCTCACTGCCTCCGCCAGTCTCACCGCATCCTCTTCCGCCCTCCTCTCCGCCTCCCGCCCGTTCTCCTCCAATTCCTCCACCTTCCTCATAAGCTCATCCACTAGCCGTTGTGTCTGCTCCCTCTCTACCTCCTCCCCCTCGCTCACCCTCACCTCTCCTGCCACCTCACTCCCCTCATCCACCACGTCACCCTCCTCTCCTGCCACCTCACTCCCCTCCTCCACCACATTATCCTCCTCTCCTGCCACCTCATCCCCTTCAACACCCGCCCCAACTCCTCCCTCCACCACCTCACCTCCTGCACCCACCACCCCACCCTCCCTCACTCTCCTCTCTGCCTCCTCCGCCCTCTCCCCCGCACTCAACACCTGCGCTCTCACCGCACCCAACTCTTCCCGCATCCTCTCCAACGCCTTCTCATCCTCCACCTTCTGTTCCGCCGCCTTCACAAGCCTCTGCAGAGCCGCCCTTAGCTCATGCTTCAGCCTCACATACTTCGCCCTCGTCTCTTCCGAATCATCCAGCAATCCCCTCAGATTCTTCGCCTCATCCATCGTCCTCTGCAGGCTCCTCTCTGCAGCAATCCTCCTAGCTGTCGCCTCTTGAGTCTTCTTCCACTCTGCTTCCGCCAATTGTGCCGCCTCCTCCCCCAAATCCCGCTCTCTCCTCAACGCCTCCTCCAAATCCCTCTTCTCCTCCTCGCTCCTCTCCTCCCGGCCCTGAAGTTCCCGAACCTGTTCCTGGATCGCCCGCAGCTGCTCGTCCACCGCAGCTTTCTCCCGAGCACACGCCGCAGCCGCGGCGGCCGCATCCCGAACCTCCCTCTCCGCTTCCTCCGCCAGCCTCTCCGCCTCACGCCTCCGCCCCTCCTCGGTCTGCATCCTCTCTACAAGCTCCCTCGCTTCCTGCTCCTGGAGCTTCAGATTCGCCTTGAGAGCGCTGTTAGCCCACTCAGCCTCCAGCTTCCCTTTGACTGCCGAGTCCAAATCCAACCTCTGCTGCCTGAACCGGTCCTGATCCTTGCCCACGTGCCTGAGAGAAGACCTACAGTCAACCACACACTCCGTACCTCCCACTCCTCCTCCTCCCCCTCCGCCTCCACCTCCGACTCTCCCTGCTGCACCCTTGCCCCTCATTGAAAGCGGAGTCTCAAACCCCTTAGCGCCAGAAAACGCCTCCTCGAGGTTCCGATTGATGCCTGCCCCCAGGCCGGTACCAAAGCCGCCACTTGTGGGAGTGGCAGCACGAGTGCCCCTGGTGGTCGTGACCAGAGGTGTGGGAATGAGGCTGCTGGGGGCAGCAGCGCGCGCAGCTGACAGGATGGGAGTGGGCGCGGCGGAGAGATCTCCTCTCTGCGAGGCGAGCCCTCCATGGAATGAGGAAGAGATGTCCTTGTTGGCAGCTTTGAACGCCTTGATTTGGTCTTCCAGAGAGAGGTTCTGCGCAGCCAGCAGCTGCATCTCCGCCTCCATCTCCCGCGTTTGCCTGTTGAGTGAGGAGATGGGGGGAATGGGGGGATGGAGGGTTGGGGTGATGGAGAGATGGAAGGACGGAGAGATGGAAGGACGGAGAGATGGAAGGACGGAGAGATGGAAGGACGGAGAGATGGAAGGACGGAGAGATGGAAGGACGGAGAGATGGAAGGACGGAGAGATGGAAGGACGGAGAGATGGAAGGACGGAGAGATGGAAGGACGGAGAGATGGAAGGACGGAGAGATGGAAGGACGGAGAGATGGAAGGATGGAAAGATGGAAGGACGGAGAGATGGAAGGATGGAAAGATGGAAGGACGGAAAGATGGAGGGACGAAGGGGTGGATGGATTGACGGATGGTGGGATGGTGGGACGAAGGTGCTCTTCCTACTGCCCTTCGTTCCTAAAAGACACCCACCGCCACTCGCTCACCTTGATTCTGAGGCGCCTCAAACATACCACTGCTCCCTTCTCTCACCTCACCAGCTGCTCGTTAGCGGCATTGAGCAGCGGCAAGGGCCATCTGCACCAACCGAGCTTCCTGAGTCGACTGACAGGTCACCTAGCCCATCCATCCCCCACCTCTCACTTCACTAGCTGCTCGTAAGCAGCGCAGCACCAGACAGCCATGAGTACTCCTTGCGCCGAGCCAGCTTCTCTCGCATTCCCCAGCATCACTGCTGTAACTGTCTTTCCCTCTGCTTCCCACCCCTCTCTGAGCTTGCCAGCTGATCGTTAGCGGCATCGGACAACCGCAATTGCTCCCTGCCCCAATCGTGCTTCTCTCTTGTTCCCAGCATCACTGCTCTAACTATCTTTCCCTCCACATCTTGCCCGCCCCTCACCTCGCCAGCTGCTCGTTAGCAGCATCAGACAGCCGCAAGTGCTCCTTGCAGCGACCCAGCTCCGCCCGTACGCCCTGTAGCTCCTGGGTGAGCTCATCTATGCGCGCCTGAGCGTGCCCCCCGCCCGCTGCTGCCTTCTGCACCAACAGCTCCGCCACCTGGTGGTTGTGTGTGAGAAGAAAATGTAGGGCAGTGAGGGGTGGAAAGGGAGCAAACATACAGTAAACCCCTGCCTTCCACGTGCCATTTAGGCTGTGCTGCTTTACTTGGCAAGGGCGGACACATGTGCTGCGTACGCAGCAGCACAACCGAGCTGCTGCATGCAAGCGTGCAGATACTGCACTATGCTCACCCTAAACTGCACTATGCTCACCCTAAACTGCACTATGCTCACCCTAAACTGCACTATGCTCACCCTAAACTGCACTATGCTCACCCTAAACTGCACTATGCTCACCCTAAACTGCACTATGCTCACCCTAAACTACACTATGCTCACCCTAAACTGCGCTATGCTCACCCTAAACTGCACTATGCTCACCCTAAACTGCACTATGCTCACCCTAAACTGCGCTATGCTCACCCTAAACTGCACTATGCTCACCCTAAACTGCACTATGCTCACCCTAAACTGCACTATGCTCACCCTAAACTGCACTATGCTCACCCTAAACTGAACTATGCTCACCCTAAACTGCACTATGCTCACCCTGAACTGCACTATGCTCACCCTAAACTGCACTATGCTCACCCTAATCTGCACTATGCTCACCCTAAACTGCGCTATGCTCACCCTAAACTGCGCTATGCTCACCCTAAACTGCACTATGCTCACCCTAAACTGCACTATGCTCACCCTAAACTGCACTATGCTCACCCTAAACTGCACTATGCTCACCCTAAACTGCACTATGCTCACCCTAAACTGCGCTATGCTCACCCTAAACTGCGCTATGCTCACCCTAAACTGCACTATCCTCACCCTAAACTGCACTATGCTCACCCTAAACTGCACTATGCTCACCCTAAACTGCACTATGCTCACCCTAAACTGCACTATGCTCACCCTAAACTGCACTATGCTCACCCTAAACTGCGCTATGCTCACCCTAAACTGCACTATGCTCACCCTAAACTGCACTATGCTCACCCTAAACTGCACTATGCTCACTTTAAACTGCACTATGCTCACCCTAAACTGAACTATGCTCACCCTAAACTGCACTATGCTCACCCTGAACTGCACTATGCTCACCCTAAACTGCACTATGCTCACCCTAAACTGCACTATGCTCACCCTAAACTGCGCTATGCTCACCCTAAACTGCACTATGCTCACCCTAAACTGCACTATGCTCACCCTAAACTGCACTATCCTCACCCTAAACTGCACTATGCTCACCCTAAACTGCACTATGCTCACCCTAAACTGCACTATGCTCACCCTAAACTGCACTATGCTCACCCTAAACTGCACTATGCTCACCCTAAACTGCACTATCCTCACCCTAAACTGCACTATGCTCACCCTAAACTGCACTATGCTCACCCTAAACTGCACTATGCTCACCCTAAACTGCACTATGCTCACCCTAAACTGCACTGCACTCTCCTCTTCTTGCAGTGTCGTGCACTCACCTGATCCTTCAGATTCTCCATATCACTCTGCACACCCTCCGACCCACTTCCTCCCTCCTCCACCACCTCCTCCTCCTCCTCCCCCTCCTCCACAGTCGCCAACCTTCCCTCCATCCCCTCTCCCTCTCCACCACCAGCACCACCAGCGTCACCACCATCGCCACCAGCACCCATCACCTCACCCCCTCCCCCAGCACCACTCCCACCACCACGAGCAGCAGCAGCAGCAGCAGCAGCGAGCTGCTTCCTCAGCTTCGCAGTCTCGCCCCTCAGAACGCCCACTTCCCTCTCCAGCTCCCTCTCCCTGCGCAAGCACCCCGCCAGCGTCCGTTCCAGCCGCTCAATCTCCCCCAGCAGCTGCACATGCCTGGGAGAGTTCGCCCTCTCCTGCAGCGCCAGTGCCAGTGGGGAGCTGGCAGCAGCAGCAGTAGACCCAGCAGCACCGGTGGAGTTACCATTGCGGGGTGTTCTGGGTGTGGTGGTGCGGGAGTGAGGGAGGGAGAAGGGAGGCGAGGAGGAGGAGGCAGGGAGGAGCAGACGGGCTTCACAGGTGCAGAGCTTATTCAGTCGATGAAGCTCGTCCTGTGTGTGGGGATGGCGGGGGAGGGGGGGGAGAAGAGGAATAAGAGGGAGAACTCATGTTTGGAAGGAGGGAGAGGGGAGGGAGGAGCAAACGGGCCTTGCAGGGGTGGGGGAAGAGAAAAGGAGCGCAGCAGGGCAGAGAGCAGGGAAGGGCGTGAATCGTGGGGGAAGAGTGCAGCAAGGAAGGGAGCGCAGCACCTCGAGGTGGGTGATTTCCTTCGTAAGTGTGTCCTGCTCGCCCTCTGCAGCCTCATTCAAGTTCTGAGAGGTCTCAACAGCTGAGGCGTTTTGAGACATCTCAACATGCACCTTGAGGCGAACAATCTCCTTCTTGAGTGCGTCTCCTTCTTGAGTGCGTCTCCTTCTTGAGTGCGTCTCCTTCTTGAGTGCGTCCCTCTCACCCTCTGCAGCCTCATTCACCACTGCCTTGCTAGTCGACTCAAAATACACCTACACATCGCACCTTGAAACATTTAAGAGGGCAGGGAGCGTCGCACCTTAAAACGGGCAATCTCCATCTTAAGAGCGTCCTTCTCGCCCTCCGCTGTCTCATTCACCACCGATCCACCTCCTTGTTTTGCATTCTGAGTCGATTGAAAATACACCTAAGAAGCGCACCTTAAGGCGGGCGATTTCCTTCTTCAGAGCGTCCTTCTCTCCCTCTGCAGCCTCATTCATATCCTGAAAGACCTCAACAGCTGAGTTGTGTCAACACTCACCTTGAGCTGCGCGATCTCCTTCTTGAGAGCGTCCTTTTCGCCCTCTGCAACCTCATTCACATCCTGAGAGATCTCGACAGCTGAGTCGTGTCAACACTCACCTTGAGACGGGCGATCTCCTTCTTGAGAGCGTCCTTCTCGCCCTCTGCAGCCTCGTTCACCACTGCCTTGTTGTGAACCAGCTTCGCCCGCTGTGCGAACTTGAGCGTGCTGTGCGACTCCCGAAATGACCTGCAGGTGGGAGAGACGCAAGAAGATATGCCTAAGAAACTATGTGAACCAGCTTCGCCCGCTGTGCAAACTTGAGCGTGCTGTGCGACTCCCTGAATGACCTGTGGGTGGGTGGGAGGACGCAAGAAGATGTGCCTATGAAACTGTGTGCTGTGTGCACCGCCTCATTCACGTGTACACCAGCTTCGCTCGCTGTGCAAACTTGAGCGTGCTTGCGACTCCCGAAACGACCTGTGGGTGCAGACACACACGAGACAGGGCAACAAAAGTTGATGCATGTGAGCTGAGGCATCTCAAGAACTGGTGGTCATGTGACGGCATCTCAAGAACTGGTGGTCATGTGACAGCAGCACACATCACCAGTGCTTACCCTGCGAATGGGCTGATGCACGCGATGATGGTGGTCTTGGAGTTGCCTCAAAACTCACCTCATGGAATCTCCAGGTGTTCGGAATCTTAGCAGCAGACATCACCAGTGCGTACCCGGCGAATGGACTGATGCACGCGATGATGGTCGTCTTGGAGTTGCCGCCCAGAGAGTCCTGCATGCGGAGTGGGTGGTGAAAACAGGGGGTGGTGTTGGCATAATGTTGCTGGAGTATTCACCTGGAGGAGCCTGAGAACCATCTGGAGGAGCACAGAATATCACCCGAAAAAAGAAAGGCAAGAGAAATCACCTGGTGGAGCAAGAAACCAGGGTATTCAACTGGAGGTGAACGGAGCCAGAGTGTTCACCTGGAGGTGCACGGAGCCAGAGTGTTCACCTGGAGAAGGAAGGTGAGATAGGAGTCGCGGTAGGGCACGTGGCGAGGCTTGTTCTCCCTCAGCGACTCCACGAGCACCATGATCACCTTGCTGTGGCACCGACACATGATTACAGATAGAGACGGGCACGGGCATGGGCATGTGCAGAAGAGTAAGTAGGTTTGTATCAGCGGACAAGGCTTGTTCTCCCTTAGCGACTCCACCAGCACCATGATCACCTTGCTGTGAGACCAACACATGGACACATGCACACATGCACACATGCACACATGCACAGAAGCACACATGCACACATGCACGGAACGATGATGCACAAGAGTAAATCGGTTTGAATGGAGCGCTGCGAGCAACACACACACACAGGAATGGACACGACGGTACACAACAAGAATGGTTCAGTCGACTGAAGCATGAATTCGACCAGCCCCACGAGACCAGCCCCACAATCACCTTGCTGCAAACCGTCATATATGAAAGCAATCACTTATTCCCAAAATGCACGGTGCACACAGAGTGCATAGCCAAGGGCGAGAATAGAAGCAATATTTGACGCAACTTAAAACGCATAGCCAAGCCAAGGCTGGGAAGCAATCTTTTAGGCGCCTCAAGAAGCATAGCCAAAGGTGAGAAGCAACAAACCCGAGCTGGGAGAGCGATGTGTTGATGGAGCACGCCTCCTTGAGCCAAACATGTTCTCAATGCGTCCTCTCAGCAATTCTTGCAGTGTGCAAACGTGCACACAGCATGCACAGAGAATCGTGCACACAGCATGCACAGAGAATCGTGCACACAGCATGCACAGAGAATCGTCCACACAGCATGCACAGCCGAGGGAGAGAGACGACAAACCCGAGCTGGGAGAGCGACGTGTTGATGGAGCTCGCCTCCTTGAGCCTCTCTCCCGTCGCCCCTGATGACTTCTGCCTGCCAGGGGTGGACAACAGCAGAGAGCGGTGGAGTGGGATGTTGAGGAGTGGAGTGGGGTGGGAAGAAAAATCATTCCAGAATGGGGAAAAAGGGATAAGGGACACTTTTCAGAATGGGCAAGAGGGTAAGCGCGAGGAAGCTTCCAGAGCATCAAAACAAAAGTCAAGACATGGCAAGAGGGGATGGGAAGGGGTACCTTTCAGAGCCCGCGAGGTCAACGAGGTTGAGTTGACCGAAACGCCGGTTGCTGATGCCCTCAACCGTCCACTGCAGCGGTGGGGTGGGGTGGGGTGGGACGGGGTGTGGTGGGGTGGGGTGGGGTGGGGTGGGGACACGGCGCAACACGAGATTTGCACATCGATATCCACGATGGTATCAGCTCCATACAGAGACACCTTCAACTTCAAACCTGTCAGCAGCAGCACTCACGTGCTTCAGCCCTGCAACCTGTCGACCGCTGACTGCTTGCAATGGTGCCAGTAGCACCAAACGTGCTCTTCTTAAAAAAGCTGTCAGCAGCACTGCACACTGCGCTCACCGTGCTTTCGATGTTGCCAGCAGCACTCACAGTTCCACCTCACAATTTCAAGCCTGCCAGCACCAGCACATGCTCTCACCGTGATCCAATTGTTGCCAGGACCAGCAACGCACTCACCGTGCTCTCGATGTTGCATGTGAAGAAGATGTGAGACCGGCTGCTAGTTGTTGAGTACAACTAGTTAGCTTATATCAAAACACTGTGCTTCAAACCTGTCAACACCTCTACAACCTGCACTCACCGTGCTCTCGATGTTGCACGTGAAGACGCTGTGAGACCGGCTGCTCTCCCGGTTCATGTTCGTCCCCGCCACCCGCCGGTTCTTCGCTCCCTGCACACACACACACAGACACGCCAATGTCAACACTCTGTTACAGCCTTGAGCCGACTCGAAGGCATCTCTGAGAATAAGAGCAAGCCACCAACTTGACTCGACTCGGCTCAACTCATCCCAGCTCCACTTACCTGCTGAATTAGCTCCATGACTTGAGCAAAGCAGGTGACCGGCTGCTTGGTAAGGTTCTCCACGTACACGCCATTGGGGCCCTCTCGGATCTGAGGGGGACAAAAAGGGGAGGGCGTGGGGTGGGGGAGAGAAGGGAAGACATGCAGGTGCGTGTGAGAGTGAGAGGCATGTGAATGTGTGTGACAGGACAGGACTGGATACGCGAATGGAGACAGGGTGCTTGGTAAGATTCTCCACAAACACGCCATTGGGGCCCTCTCGGATCTGAAAGACACGAGAGGTACGGGGGGCAGGCAGGTGTGTGAGTGCGAGCGAGGCATGTGAGTGTAGGTTCTTTGACTGGATAGACGAACGAGGCCCGGCTGCTTGGATTTGAGAGAGGCGAGGGAGGGGACAGGCATGTGGTTTGATTTGATAGGTGGAAGCCACAGGGGGCATGTGGGCTTGAGTTGATCAAACGAGCAAGACACGCACGCACATGCCAGTTGCAACACGCACATGCAGGTTGCAGCACTCACATGGACCCAAAGCCTTAGAAGCAAGCATTAACATTGAACCCTGCACTCATTCATATGCACTCAAAACCCTACACTCACATGCAGGTTGCAGCGCTTGGGGTCCAGAAGGTCGTAGAAATGCTCGTTGTAAATTTCCAGGAAAGAGCACGTGCAGATGAACGTGAGACGCTCACCCGCCCTCTGCTGCTTCTCCTGGCAAGACAAACGGATGGGGCGAGGAGGAGGGAAGAAACAGAGTTGGGGAGGGAAGGAGGGAAGGTGGGGCGAGGAGGGAAGGAAGGGAGGTGGGCCGAGGAGGGAAGGAAGAGAGGTGGGGGAAAAGGACGGAAGTGAGGTGGGGTGAGAAAAAGGGAGGAAAGGAGGAAAGGAGGCAGGGAGAGTTTGGGGAGGAAAATGAGGAGTAGGTAGTTTGGGAGAAGAGTTGAAAAGCAAGGGAGGTTGGTGCAATGTGATGGAAGCACGCTCAGACATCAAGTATCGTAGGCAGCAGCAGCATAGAACGCAAACGAATTCTAGTTGGCAGGCAGCCGTCAGAGCATGAGCCACTGTAATTTATAAAGTGCGTAAAAACTCGACTAAAAGGCAGCCAGCGAACAGGCATAAATCCACCACAGTCCACGCTAAGATATTAGATCCTAATCAAAACCACCAGTTCCGTTTGGACGTCCCAGTCCCCAGAGTAGCAGGCGGCTAAATGCAAGATGTGTGCAGCATGATACGTACCTGTTGCATCAGGGCGAAGACCAGCTGGAAGACTCGCGCTGGATGCGGGCTGCAAGGTGCGGGCTGCAAGGTGTGCGGGCTGCAAGGTGCGGGAAGCAAGATGTGCAGGCAGCATGATACATGGGCAGCATGAGACGCACCTGCTGCATCAGGGCGAAGACCAGCTGGAAGACTCGTGGAATCATCCCCCACCTCGACCCGACCTCCACGTCAGCGTTACCCCCTCGCAATCTGTCCACGTCAGCCTTGTCCACGTCAGCTCCAAACATGGTGTACGTCTTCCCGCTGCCCGTCTGAGATGTGTCATAAGGAAGAGGGAGTGGACAAACAAAGGGAGGAGGAGAGGAGAGTGCACGGACGGAGGAGAGAGGGCGAGCATGCAAAACGATTGAACCGGGATATGAAAGTAAGAGGGAAGAGGCAAGACGGATGGGTGGGGTGCTACAAACAACAGACATGGGATGACGAGCAAGCAAGGTGATCTGACTTGAGATTTCTCAGAAACACCCTGCAGCAAGCATGGTCTATCCCAATCAAATCAAAGCATCGTGCTAAGCGGCAGATGCAACGAACCTGGCCATACGCGAACATGGTGCTGTTGTATCCAGAAAGGCAGTTCTCGACTATGGGCCTCCCTGCCACCTCAAACAGGTCCTCCTGCGGAAAGAGTGAAGGGAGACAGGGGGGAAAGGGGAGAGGGGCAGCGGAGCGGGACGGGGGAGAGGGACAGGGGATGGGCCTCCCTCCCTGGCAGCTCGAACAGGTCCTCATGCAGAGGGGAAGGAGGGAGGGAAAGAGGGGGAATGGGGTAGACGGACAGGGATGGGGATCTAGAGAAGAGCTTTTCAACAACGGGCTTCCCTGGCAGCTCGAACAGGTCCTCCTGCAACGCGACTCAAGGGAGAGGTCGGGGGCGGGGGAAGGAGGGAGGGAAAGAGGGGGAATGGGGTAGACGGACAGGGATGGGGATCTAGAGGAGAGCTTTTCAACAACGGGCTTCCCTGGCAGCTGCAACGGGACTCAAGGGAGAGGACGGGGGCGGGGGAAGGAGGCGGGGAAAGGGGCGAGGTGGAAGGGGGAGGGGAACGGGGCGGGGAAAAGGGGTGAGAAGACAGTGAGAGATGGCGGATGTTGAAGGAATGGAAAAAAGGCTTGTCAGCTCAAACGGGCCCTCCAAAGGGGGAAGAGGGGAGAGAGGGGGTAAGGGCAAGGGGGCCGGGTTCAAAGGGAGAGGGTTGACACACAACCATGCATCGGCCATGCTGAGCAAGGATCACAGAACCACCGCATCCTCATGGCACTTGTGTTCCTTAACCACCATGACCATGCGCTCGCTCCCGCCCTTCATTTCAAGAGCGCCTATCCTCACGCACTGCTCTCATCCCCATGCCCACCTGCGACGCGCTCTCCCCTACCCTTCAACTCAACAACCCCCATCCCCATCTCCACGCCCTGCTCTCATCCCAATGTGTACCTGCGTCGCGCTCTCCCCTGCCACGTGGACGAACGTGAACTGCTCCGCCGCGACCGGGGGGCTTCCTGCGCCCCCATTACCACCACCACCCCCCCTCATCCCCCCTTCTTCACTGCAGAAACGCCCATCCCCACGCCTACCTGCGACAGGCTCTCCCCCGCCCTTCAATTCAACAGCTCCGCTGCTCGCTTACCAATGCCCACCTGCCACGTGTCCATCCCCATGCCCACCTGTGTCGCGCTCTCCCCTGCCGCGTGGTCGAACGTGAACTGCTCCGCCGCACCGGCCCTGTCCGGGTTCACCAGGAATAGTGACTTGGGGCCGTCCTGTGCCACACACTTTGCCCCGGGCCCGGGGTACCCCGTCAGCTCAGGGCCTGCTGGCGGCCGCACCCTCACGATAACCTGGCAGCGGGTGGTTGGGGTTGTGGGAGAAAGTGAGCACAGAATGAAAACGGAGGTGAATATTAAGTCAACTCAAGAGCGACCAGGGGCCGTCCTGTGCCACACACTTTGCCCCGAGTACCCCGTCGTCAGCTCAAGGCATGCTGGCGGCCGCACCCTCACGATCACCTGCCAATGCGAGTGGGCAGTTGGGGTGGGTGGAGAGAGCGGAAACGGATGAAGAGATGGAGGCGGACACAGAGAGCGCGGGAGAGAGGACACAAAAGTGGCACACCTTTCCTCGAATTCCTAATCATGAAATGACATCAGCTCCAGCCCAGCAAGAAAATCCACCTTCTAAGGTCTCCGAAACATCTCGTGACATCTAACGTGACATCATGTGCGGTGGATCCTGAATACCCGTCCAAAATTCGCCTAAATCTTCCATGCCTGAATCTTCGAGCCCCCTCAATATGTTTAAAATCTGAGACATGACATTTCCCTCGGGGTCCCTACTTGTATGTTCGAATCGTCTGAAATCGCGGCCGATAACCGCGTGGGGACGGGACGCGTCCTCGTGGCGGTGCTCGGAGTCTTAACCGCCATGGTACGATCGCGACCTGCGGGTAGAGAGACGCACATAAGGATAACAGTAAGTTGTTCGAATCGTCTGGGATCGCGGCCGATAACCGCGTGGGGACGGAACGAGTCCTGGTGGCAGTGCTCGGAGTCTTGACAGCGATGGAGCGATCGCGATCTGGACAGAGGGACGCACGGAAAGATTATGCATGAATGTTTGAGGCGTCTATGATCGCGGCCGATAACCGCGTGGAGACAGGACGAGTTCTGGTGGCGGTACTCGGAGTCTTGACAACAATGGTACGATCGCGATCTGCGGGCTATTAGGGACGCATAGACGGAAAACGCATGAATCAGGCGAACCAGCCGCACGAGAAACGAAGCTTGTTCTGAGACGTCTCAAGGTGTTCGGATACTTGACAGCGATGGTGTGATCGCGGTCTGCGGGCAGAGAGGGACGCACGAAACGAGAAAGGTGAACCTGAGGCACGGGAAAGTGATCTTCGGAGAAATGTCAGAGCAGCTGTACTTCCACGCTGCTCGGACTCTTCGCAACGATGGTGCGATCGGTGATCTGAGGGTAGAGGGACACACGGATGACAATGCATGATCAGAGTGAACATGAGGCACAAGAAGGGGAATTCGTTCTTGTTAGCATGGTTCGTCGAACCACGAGGAAACCGACGATGATGAGACGTCTCCAGGTGTTCGGAATCTTAGCGGCGATGGAGCGATCGCGATCTGCGGGAAGAGGGACGCACGGACGGAAAACGCAAGAATTAGGCTGAACGAGAGACGCAGGAAAGTGGAATCGTTCTGAGACGTCTCGATATCATTTTGCTTTCACGTTGCTCGAGATCCTGGCAGCGATGGTGCAACCTGGGATGTAAGGGATAACGAAAAGGGTCAACGAGAGGATTCTTGTTTTCTATACGTCTCAAAGCAGATTCATTTTCACGTGGCTCGGAAGATAAATGACCGGCGTAGGTCCTGGCATAGAGGGACGCACGGAAGGACGAAGCATGAATCAGGGTCAACGAGAGGATTTTTGAGTCGACTCAGAAGTCAGCTGCGAGTAGACGCACGGAAGGATGACAAAAACAAGAGATGGTCATATCAACATAAGAGGGTGATTAGAGTATCTTCCATAGTGCATCAAGCGCAGTGCGACTCGTAAACTTACACGCCTGCGACTGCGGTGTGAGCACGTTGCCAGTAAGCGTCGCGAGCCCCGCTCTAGGCGTGCCTCGCTGCGACGATGCCGACGACGACAACCCCCCTGCCTGCGACGCTGACGACGACCCCCCTGCCTGCGACGACGACAACAACCCTTGCAGCGGTGTCTGACGGCTGAGAGGATCAGCCTTGCTGGGTCCGCTTTGCTGTCCAGCGGATATATTACGTCCTACGGAAGACGGCGGAGCCATGTTCTCCATTTTGAAACTGGAAAAAAAAGCATCCAAACGGGAAGGCAAAAACAGGTAGAAACGAGTAGTCGATAAGGAGCCGAACCATGGTCGGAATCTGCTGTCCGCTGATCGAATGGTGCTTTGTAACCTGATCATACACATAAACGATTTACTGAACGTGAATATTCAACGTGACGATTGCCGGCTGAAATTTGACTGCGGAATCGATAATCTGCTATCCTCTTGATAAAAGCACTACAGCGTACGAACAGCATATAATTTGCTTACGTTTACTGGTAAATCTCGGCGTCCTTCGCGTTCAGATAACAATCGCTCCGACGCCACTAGTGCAGGAGGCGATACTGCCAGCGAAATGCTGGCAACCGTTAACAACCAGCCTACGAAGTTACTTCGAATACTAGACTGAACAACGTGTTCCTAGTAAGCTAAAAAAACCACGTCGAGACCGGAAGCCTTTCGTGCATGCCAATTAGTCACCTGAGATATCATACTGAACGGCATCGTGCCACTACCCTGAAGCGTCTGAAAACTACTCAACTCGTAGAGTCTATCAGTATAGCCAGTCTCTTGAAGTTGTCATAGAGTTTCCGAGGAGTTGGTTGTTCAGGTAGGAGCAATGGTGTCTTGGAGTTTTCTTTCAGCTGGGATGGGAACGAATGGTTCGAGAAGTTCACTTTGACCCAGAATGGCCCTAAATTGTGAAACGCCTCAGTACTTGGGAGTATAATGCTAATCCTACAACCTTCGTAGGTTGCTGGAGGTTGACAAAAAAAAATCCAAGCGGATACGTTACGCTTTGCAAAATACAAAGAACAGTCTTACACTAGGGACCACGGAAGTCTCTTTTAAATCGATCCCACGGAGCTTGCTGCTGACTAAAATCCCTCCGCGCGGATACTTTAATGCTTCGCAAAACATAGAGTACGGTCTAAATAAAGAACAGAACCAGCACTGACCTAGATATTGGGGCAATGCTTGGAAACTTGCGAAAGCCCCTGATTGCTTCCCATCTCTGACGAGGCGCATTGATAAACTGGAGTCGTCAGGTTCAAATATTCCCGCGCTTAGAACCCTACTGAACCGCACGCTTCACAGAAAATTATAACCCGCTAGACACACCCTCATTACTATCGACAGTTACCTCTCCATCGTCCTTTCGAAGGTTTATATATCCCAGCCCAGTTGAACAGCAACCAATGAGCGCCACTGACAGGGTGTGCGAAGCCAGCAGGTGAAGGGAGCAGTGCTGATTGCCTGGTAAAGTTTCGCGAACATCTGCAGCAAGCTAGCTGTGTACGAACTACAGCGATTTCGGCAGATGCCTTACAAACCGTATTCAAGCAGGTCACTCCTCTGTTCTAGCTGGTTTGGTTTGTGTCAGAATGGAAGATTGGATCCGTCGCTGAGCTCGCCTGATCTAGTTTCGTCCTCATCGCATTTTGTCGCATGTGGCAGCATGTTACCACCATTTTTTCTAAAGTTTCATACTTCCAACAAAGATCCTTGTAGCGAAAACTAGTCACAACCACCCACAACTGCGCAATCTCAACCAAGGTAGATTTCGTCCATCATGATTTCTAGTAAAAACGTGATACCGTCCGTTATTGCGTGACCGTTACGATTTCTCGTGACCATGGCTGGCCATAGTTTCTTGCCTCGCGGGGATTGGGACCCCTGCTCGTCCAGCAGAAAAATGAGAGAAAGTCGTAACTATCCCGACGATCGCTTGGTTTGCTCCTCTTCACAGGCCGCTGCTCCAAGCTCGTCCCTCCTCCCCGCTTCGTCTTCGTCTCCTCCTAGACCGTTCTCCGTCCCCTCCTCTGTTCCTGCTTCTTCCTCCTCCGCTTTCTCGTCATCACTAGCAGCAAGGCAGGCTCAAGCCATGCTTTTGAGAGAATTAGTGGAACCTGCATGGAAGCTTCTGCCCGAGTCTCCTTACCTGAATCCGAGCTCCAAAGTTCATCCGTCCACTCCACCTCCTAATCCCAAAGTACATAATTTAACTCACTTTGTACGGAGTTGCTTCGTGCAAGTGAGAGAAAGTATGTAAATCCATCAAAACTTTTCCCACTCGGTATGTCTCATTCTTGAAATCTGGGACCTACACGACGCCGCTTTGCATTCTCCGTTCCCCACTCCCCGTTCCCCATTCAAACAGGAATCATCTCAAAATCCTTCCTGCACTGTCCTCCACCCTTCTATCCCCCCCCCTCCACCCCCCCCCCCCCCCCCCCCCTCTCCCTCCCCTTCAGGAATCGCGTCATCTCCGCGCCACCATCATCCAGGCCGTCTCTCGCTTCGTCATCTCCTCCTCGCGCGTCAAGCCCTCCCAGCTGCCTCTGCTCGTTGCTGCCTTCTTCATCTCACCCACCCCAGCCGTTCCTAACCCATGCCATGCCCAATCAAGCCTTTCTAGCCCTTCTGTCCCTGCAACCGCCTCTTCTCCTGCTGCTTCTCCTGCTGCTGCTGTTGCTTCTGCCACTGTTGCTGCTCCTCCTCTTTCTTCTGCGCCCTGTCCAACCCCTGCTGATGCTCTGATCGCGCTGCTCTTAGCAGAGCAGGCCACAAGTAGCAGGAGTGGTGGAGGGTGCACGGAGGTAGAGTGCAGTGCTGCAGGGTGTGCAGCAGATGCTGAGTGCGGGGTAGAATGCATTCGGGTGCTCACGAGGCCTCCTGCTTCCACCAAAGAAGCCAAGGTAATCTTACTATCTTCTGTTTCCCTTCTGTTTATCCTTAGCGGAAATTTCCTGCGTATATTTGTTTGGTACTCTCCTCTCCTCCTCTCACCGGCCTTCAGTTTTCCACCTCCCTTTGTTCTGCGAAATATGGAGCTGTCAATTTTTGTTTTTGCCCAACGCAAAGGGGAAAAAAAAAGGGTTTCTTTTCTATATGCCTTGTGCCCGTCCCTCATTCCCCTAGAACCTTCCCTCCCTTTGCATTTCCCGCTTTCCCTCTCCATCTCGGCACTGTCTCGTCGCGCTTCTCTATCGTATCACCTTCCCCCTTAGTTTTGCTACCCGTCCCTGACTCCTCCTCACAACTCCCTTTCAATCCCTTCCTCCTTCCCGTACACCTTCCCCCCCCGTCCCTTCCCCTACCTCCTCAGCTCCAGCACTGTCTCGTCCCACTTCTCCTTCACATCGCCTCCCGCCTTGTCACTGCCACAGCAAGTCCCTCCCACCTTCACTCTCCAACTCCACCCAACACCAACGCCCATGCCCATCACTATCATCCAACCACCCTACAACCGCAGCATCTGTCGAGCACTCGAAGTACCACTCAAGTGCATCCGCTATTTGCGACTCAGACCCATCTGGGCTGTGCGTTTGACATGTGCCGCCACGCCCTTGCTCGCCTCGCTGCTGAACTCGGCCCCCTGCAGTGCTGCCAGCAGCTGCTGCTGCACGCTGGCATCGTTGATGCTCAGGCTCATGCTGATTCTCGTGTTATTGGTGCAGCAGCTGCTGCCGCTGCTCCTCCTCCTGCTTCTTGTTTTTCCGCTGTTTGCACACCTGCTTCTGATTTTGCTGCTACTGATGCTACTGCTGCTGCTGCGCCTGGCACCAGGGATACCGCCCCTTCTAGTGCTCAATCTGGTGCAGCTGCGGCTTCTGCTGTCACCAGCAGCAACAACAATGCAGTCTCATCACTCTCCCTGCTGCTGCTACAGTGCTTACAGCGCACAGCAGCTGCTATTCAAGCCTCTCCTCCCTCCCAGTCTGAGAAAGCAGCAGCAGCAGCAGCAGCAGCAGAGGCCGGGGAGTTAGCAGCAGCAAGAGAAGGAACGGCAGCAGTTGGAGGTGAAGGAGGGGCAGCAAAAGCAGAAGGAATGGCAGCAGCGACAGAGGAAGGAAGGGCAACAACCACTGAAGGGAAGGTAGCAGGAGAAAAGGGGAGCAACAAGGGCGGTGCCCCTGGTTACATGTCCACAAGAGAAGCATGCGCCCTTCTCTCCTCCCTCTCCTCCTCGCTTCTTGAGACTGATGTCGCTCTGCTCTCCGCCTGCTTGCCTGTCCTCCTCCTCCTGCCGCTGCACCAATCAATACCGACCTCTTTGAACCCGAATGAGCGTTCGAACGTGCCCCTGAATGAGCGTCTAAATGCACCTGGTTTCACCCCCCAGCGGCACAGGCAACAAAAGCAGCAGCAGAAAGAGCAGCAGCAGCGAGTGGAGCAAGAGAAGCAGCGCGTGCAGAATCCAGCCGCACCTTCATTGTTGCGGCCCAGAGCGCCACTGCTTACATCCCCTCAGCCTACGGAAGCAGTGCCATTAACTATGGAAGCAGCAGTGTCACTGCCCTCTCAGCCTCGGTTGCTGCCTGCACAACGATCGCTGCCGCCTGTGGTGCCGTCAGTACGGCAGCTGGAGAGGGCAAACAGGTCGCGTGGCAAAGGGAAGGTGCAACCAGGCAGAGCAGACTGGGATGCCTTTACAGTGCCGGACGGAGTAGCAGATAGATTACCAGTTCCCGAGAAAGGGCCTCCTTCTTCCAGTGCTCGTGGTGCCAGGAAGGTTCTTGAGGCCCCTCAAGATGCGTTTACAGTGCCGGATGGAGTAGCAGAGAGAATATCAGAAAGAGTACCTCCTTCTTCCAGTGCCCATGCAGCCAGGAAGAGTTCTGAGGCGCCTCAAGACGCGTTTGCAGTGCCGGATGGAGTAGCAGATAGAGTATCAGTGTCCAAGCCCGAGGGAGTACCTCCTTCTTCCAGTGCAGGAGCCAGGAAGAGTTTTGAGCCGCCTCAGGGTGCGTTTACAGTGCCGGATGGATTACCAGTTGGAATATCTGAGGGAGTACCTCCTCCTTCCAGTGCCCTTATGGCCAGGAAGAGACGGAAATTAGCAGCAGATGCTAGTCAGGTGCCTTCAGTTTCTTGTGCAGTGCCTTCAGGTGGTTTTCAGGTGCCTTCAGGTGGTTTTCAGGTGCCCTCAGGTGGTTTTCAGGTGCCTTCAGGTGGTTTTCAGGTGCCTTCAGGTGGTTTTCAGGTGCCTTCAGGTGCTTTAGAGGCGCACTTCGCTTCGAGTGCTCCCCAAGTGCGTTCGGATACGTCAGGTGCTTTTCAGGTCCCAACAGGTGGATTTCAGGTGCCGTCAGGTGGTGGCAGAAGGCGGATGAAACCAGATTTGAAACAAACCCAGGTGCTTTCGGTGGATGCTGATGTGGCAGTTCCTGATGAAAACTTCAGGACACGAAGACTGGCAAAGCGGGGCATGGAAGCAGCAGCAGCAGCACCACCAACAAGAAGGGCAGCAGCAGCATCTGGATCAGCAACAGCAACGACAACAACGGCAACAGTGGGAATGACACCTAAGAGGGAAGCATTGAGGAGGAACACTGTTGTTTCTCCGCCATCAGCAACACCACAAGAAGTTTTGAGACCCGCCTTCCTCCACTCACACTCACACTCACTCTCACACTCGCAAACCATCTCAACCTGCTTCCCATCACAAAGCTGTCATTCTCCCTCCTTGATCCACTTATCCCCTCTCCTCTCCTCCTGTTCCGCCCTTCTCTCCTCTCTCCACACCTGCGTCAGTTCCTTAATCCCTCTCCACCGCATACCACCGCATGGGTTTCCCCTGCCCTGGCCCTTTGAGCCCCCTCTCTCTCCAGAATCTTCTGGGAAGCTTTTTCGGGATAAGTCGCAATTTGACCAGCTGGTTATGTTGCTTGGAGCGATATTTTCGGCGTCTTTTGCTGCCGCTGCTTGTGATTAGAATGGTGGTGGTGGTGGTTGTGGTGCTGCTGCTGCTGCTGCTGCCGCTGCCACCGCAACTACTTCTGGTGATGCTGGTGGTGATGATGCTGCTGATGCTGCCACTGCTGATGCTGCTGCTGCTGATGAGTTTAAAACATCCGCCAATGCGTGTCTGTCCTCCTTCCCCCATCAACTCCTCTCCTTCACCCGTAGACACAGCTACGCCCTCAGCCTTCTCTTCGCAGCCTCTCTCGCCCGCTGCTCGTCCTCCTCGCTCCACCCCCTTCCCCCTATCCACCTCAGTGCACCAGAGACGAATTTTGGGGCCCCTCAAAACTCGATTCTTGTCCAAATATGCGCCGAAGGGAAGCCATGTATGTGTACAAGGGGAGGAGGGGAATTGCAGGAAGAAAGTTTCACTGATGGGAAAGATTTGAAGGATGGGAAGAAGGGAGCTGTGCCGTTTCCAGCATGGGAGGAGGTGCTGATGTATGGGAACCGAGGCATGCCTCTCGCATGGATGTTACAGCCTCTAGAACACATGTTTCTTCTTTCTTCCTCCAGTAAGATGAGTTGCGGGGCGGATGGTGAAGACAGGGGGGGGCTGGACAGGAGGAGGGGCGGGGGCAGCAGCAGTGGGGGCGGTGAGGATGGGAACAGCAATGGGGGCAGTGACAATAGTGGGAGCGAGCTGCTGAGTCAGGAGGGCAAGAGGAGCTGGGTGCAGTGGTGCTTGCCTCCCCCTCGGGACGACTATCGTGACAAGGAGTTCATTCAGGTGGGTGCTCTATGTGTGTGCGTGCATGCCTGCAGGCAGGTGAGTGAGCGCGCGCCCGTGTGCTTGTATGTGCACTCTTCTTTTTGTCTGCTTTGAGACGTCTCAAAACACTTCTTCAATTATGTGCACTCTTCTTTTTGTCTGCTAAAGCAGCAGTTCCTCCATCTGTGGGCATAAGCTTAACGAGCTCCCTGTCTCATCCCTCCCTCCCTCCTCATTTTCCCAACCCATTTGATCCCTAACCGCAGATTGAACGAGGACCATTGGTTCTTCACCAGGCCTTCATTCAAATCCTCTCCGCCGATCCAACAGCCCTCCGAACCAGAGATAACCCATCCCTATCTCTCATTCCGTTCCCTTTCCCCTTCCGCTTCCTCCTTACTATCTCATCCCCTCAGATCGAACGAGGCCCGCTAGCTCTTCAACAGGCCTTCATCCAAATCCTCTCTGCCGACCCAACAGCTCTCCGAACCGGAGGCCTGGACGTCCGGTTCACAGGCGAGGGCGGGGCCGCAGGTCCGGGAGTGCTCCGAGAGTTCTTCGCCTTCGTTCGGGCGCACCTCTTCGACCCGAACCTAGGCCTCTTCTCTCCCATACCTCACGACCCGAGCCGGTTCTCCCTCTCCCTGGCCTCCCGAGCCAACCCTGCCGAAGCCAAGGAGTACCTTCGGTTTGCTGGTCGTATCCTGGCCCTCGCTTTGGCACATCAGGTCCCGTTAGGAGTGAAGCTGTCACGGTCCCTGTTTGCGCTGCTTGCTGCTCGCACTCCCTCGCTGGCTGATGCTGCTGATGATGATCCCCAGTTGGTTGCTAGCTGTCGGTCTTTGCTGGCCATGGCGAAACAGGAGAGGGAAGAAGCAGCACAGGGAGGAGGACGAGAAGAAGGAGGAGTAGAGTCACTGTGTCTCACCTTTGTGGCTTCGGTAGAGGATCCGATGGGGGGGGCGCCAATCGAAGCAGAGCTCGTGCCAGGTGGCAGCGAACGAGTGGTCCGTGCGGATGACGTGTCGGAGTTTGTGCAGCGGCTGGTGCAGTTTAGAGTGTGCGGGGTGGTGGAGGAGGAGGGGGAGGCGTTGCGGCGAGGCATGGAGGATATATTGGGGAGTGGAGGAGGGCGGGACGTGGTTCTAGAGGAGGGAGATGTGGTGGAAGGAAGGGAAGGGACGGATGGGAAAGGAGGGATGGATGGAAGTGTAAGGGGTCAGGGAGGGCTGGAAGGTGGTTTTGGAAGAGGTGACATGGAAGGAGGCGATGGGCTGCAGACGGCAATCCAGAAAAGTGATGATTGCTGCATTGATTCGGTTGAAGGCGTGAGTCTCGCGGCCATGCTCGCTCCCCTTTCATGCGACGACCTCAATTTTCTCCTCCACGGGGAAGACCGCCATGTGGCAGTCTCTGATTGGCAGGCGCACACGGTCTACCACGGTTATTCTCCAGAAGATCCCCAGGTTTTGTGGTTTTGGGAAGTTGTGGAGTCGCTTTCGGGTGAGCAGCGGAAGTCTCTGCTGTTTTTTGCGACGGCTGTTTCTAACCTGCCCGTGAACGGATTCAGGGGGCTGGCGATGGGGTTTCATCTGCATCGGGCAGTTGTGGATCTTTCGCGCCTGCCCACGGCTCACACATGCTTTCACCAGTTCCTCCTGCCGCCATATGAGAGCATTGAGACGATGCGCACCCGTTTGCTCACTCTCGTGAGCTCGTCATATATAGTTCATAGCTTTGGCTTTGCATGATAGCAAGCGGGATTTTTTTTGCCGCGCAACCCAAAAAAACGCCTCTGTTCCATACAGTTTGCCTCTGGTTTGGTAAGGCTGGTAAGTCCCCAGAAATATATCAGAACTTGCTGGTTGAGGCTCATATCACCAACTATTCATGTACTTTTCTGTTAAACGAAACGGGTAAACCTTATGGCGAATTTTCATACTGTCTGTAGCTGGAACGACCAAATCTGCCCATCGCTCCCTACATCCCTGTCCCGTGCTTTTCTGTGCTTCATGTCAGACTAGCTGACTGGCGAGGCGACCCAGAATCACACAAAGCCAATGCCGAGCACGACTTGCCGCGTATGCCAGCTAGCGGCGACTAGTAGTGGAGACAATTGTAGCAGTCCGAAAATGCAGGCAAACCGAGCACGTTCAACTGGAACATCTAAATCATGTCTGGCCGTAAGTAGCAGTCCGACAATGCCGCACCGCACGTCTGACCGTAACTTACAGTCCGAAAATGCCGCACCGAGCATGTAAGCGGCCTCGTGAGAGCGGCGTTGGGTATTTTAGCATCTGCCCCGCCGCTGGATCCTCTATCAGCGCAGCACCTCGAAGCACCCACATTCTTTACTACTAGCTTTCGCGCTGAACGACTCGTTCTCGACTACTAGAATCGGATTCTCGACTCGAGCCTCTCGCCGTACTACGGCATTCGCCTTCATCACACCACATTCGCCATCACCATGGCGGCGGCGGCGGGGTCATTCGTTTTCTCCCCGGCTCTTCGCCTCGCGTTCGTCCTGCTCCTCGTCTCCAGCGCGCTTCGACCGGCCGAATCGGAGTGGATCGGGGAATCCGGCGGTCCGAGGAAGAGCGTGGCCCTCACGCGCCCCGCACACGCGCAGCTCTTGCTACGCAGACAGCAGCAGCAGCAGCAGCAGCAGCGGCAGCGGCCCGCAACCACCGTCGTTCGCGGCGGCCCGGGCGGCGACGCGATCGTTTCAGCCGTCGGCTTTCCGCTCGTCCGCTCCGCCGCATCTGACGGCTTCTCCGCATCTGACGGCCTATCCGCGTCTGACGGCTTCTCCGCGTCTGACGGCGCCTTCCACGGCGCCACCACAACAACCGCCGCCACCCCCGCCGATAACGTGACGATCAAGTACCACGGCGGGCCGGTGGTGGTGGGCAATCCAACGGTCAACATTTACCACATCTACTACGGCAGCTGGGGGGCGGGGTGTAGAAAGTATATTTTTGAGACGTCTCAAACATCTACTACGGCAGCTGGGGGGCGGGGTCCGGCAAGGAGGCGTTCGTGCAGGCGCTGAGCAGCGACTCGGGCAGCCAGGGCGGCGCGGGGGACGCGAGTGTGAAGGGGTGGTGGGCCATCACTGCCGCGTACTACCAGTCTGGCGCCGACGGGAAGAAGAACATTAGCTCCAAGGTGAGATGAGCGTGAGCTAAGGACTAGACACGGAGCTAGCCACTCCACATGACATTGCTCTATCTGCTCTCGTGCTCTTCATCTGCGTCCCTCATCCCTTCACTCCCTCTTGCTGCCATCATCTGCTCCTGGCGCAGGTTCGTCTCGCTGGGACCGTGATCGACAACTATTCACGCGGCAAGAACCCGTCAGACAGCGACGTGCATGCCAGTATGTACCGCTCTCCACCACTCTCTACCCAACCCACCTAAGTGTGTCCGTGCTTGTTCCAAGTGCACCTTCCATGCGTTGAATCACCTTCTCTCCTGCTTGATATCACCTCTCTCCCTTCACCCACCGGCACGCTCCAGTACATGCACGCTCGCTGTCTTACCCTACTCTCCGCCCTCCCCTCCCCGGGCCTCCACCTGCCTCTCCGCCACGCCACCCGTGCAGTTGTGAAGAGCCCGGTGGGGCCGGGCAAGCCCTTTGCGCTGGACCCTCACGGCATCTACGTGCTGTTTACCAGCGCAGACGTCATCTTGGGAGTTTCTGCAAGCATTCCTGCGGCTGGCACACCGAAGACTCGCTCAACTCCATCCCTCTGCGCTTCGCCTTTTGTGGGGCACCACGGGCAGTGCCCGAACTCGTGCGGGGTAAGGGGCATGTCACCCAACGGCAACCCTGCCATCGATGCTACTATCACCACGCTTGCGCATGAGATCACCGAAACTGCCACAAGCCCGGAGGTGGGTACGGGGTGGTTCGTAGACGAGGGCGGGGAGAACGGCGACAAGTGCTCGTGGAATTTCGGCAGCACCAAGACCGGATCCCTGCAGAACGGCCAGAGCTATGAGTACAGCTTGGTGGGGCTGAATGGGAGGAGGTTCCTGGTGCAGCAGAACTGGGACCGCGTGCTGAACAAGTGCGTCCTGCAAAACGCCCTGCCCTCTCAGGATGGCAGCGGGGGAGGCACTCCCTCTCCTTCTCCTCCTCCCTCTCCTTCTCCTCGTCCCCCCTCTCCGTCTCCTCCTCTTCCGTCTCCGTCTCCCCGTCCTCCCTCTCCTTCTCCTCCTCCTCCTCCTCCCTCTCCTTCCCCACCTCCCCCGGCTGGAGGCAGCGTGAAGATGAATTGTGATTGCAACTGTGCGAGCGCCAGCAACCCCATGAGCTGCCAGTGCACCTGCACCAAGACAGGGTGATGTGGGGATGAAGGGGTCGCCTGTGTCTTATGGGGTGGATGCTGCACTGCACCAGGCACATCAGATATGCGGTCACAGCTGCTTAAATTGTATTGTCCCCTCCCCAGTGACACAGGCAGACTGCTGAAGTATTTATTACTTGACTACCGGTAGTTGCTCTTTTCCCACATCTTTGCAGTTTCCCTTGCTGAGTTACCATGTACGTATAGTGGGCTGCTGTGGTAGCTTCCCTTGCTGTGTTGTGTGTTCTCACATATATTCGTAGGAACAGTAGGGGAACAAAAATGGCATGTTAGTAATCGGACTTCTATTGGATGAAAAAACTGGGATTACCTAAGAGGACAAACCTCTACAAGATAGAGATGAAACAACTTACCGTACTGGCATTAGGCCTCAAGATTGGTCGTGGAGTGTAATACTTGACTTCACTCCTCCTTCCTAAGCCTAAGCACACGCTCTTACTACACAACACGAGATAGCTTATGAGGCACCTACGGTACAAGATTGAGACCTAGTGGAGTGCACATCACATCATTCCTCTTCCTTGAGCCTGGGAACAGGCTTGAACTCATAGTTGTTGATGTCTATCTTCTGCTGCATTCGCTGCAAGGGAGAGACAGGGGGAAGGTAGGACAGAAACCATGACCCACAGGAGTGCACTTCATTCCTCTTCCTTGGGCACAAGCTTGACCTCATACTTGCTGATGTCTCTATTCTGCTGCATGCGCTGCATAAGAGGGACGGTGGGAAGGGACGATGACACAGAGAACAACATCACGGGAAGCAAGAAGAGGGCATGAGCAGTGGCTTGGGCTTGGGCAAAGGCTTGACCTCATACTTGCTGATGTCTCTATTCTGCTGCATGCGCTGCAAAGAGGGGAGATGGTGGGAAGGAACGACACAGAGAACAACATCACGGGAAGCAAGAAGAGGGCATGAGCGATGGCATGGGTCTGCAGTTCTTTGTAATCATAGCTGTTGCATTCAATTTGGCTGCACGCGATGCAAGTGGGGATGGTAGGAAGAGAAGGCAAAAACCATGACAGGAGGAACCATCAGCTCTCACAACTTACCATCAGCTCTCACAACTCACCATCAGCTTCCAGAACTCACCATCAGCTTCCAGAACTCACCATCAGCTTCCAGAACTCACCATCAGCTTCCAGAACTCACCATCAGCTTCCAGAACTCACCATCAGCTTCCAGAACTCACCTTCAGCTCTTCTTCCAGATTCATTGATTTTCGCTTGGCAGGTGTTTTCAGCTCCCCAATGTCACTCTCCCTCGTCAGCGATGCGATCGAGTTGCCTCCAGTGCCACCCACTCCTGAGGCGCCTCAGTCACTACTCCCACCTTCAGCTCTCTCAACTCTCACCTTCAGTTCTTCCTCCAGGTCTAATGGTGTCCGCTTGGCCGGTGTTTTCAGCTCCCCAATATCGCTCTCCCTCGTCAGCGATCGAGTTGCCTCCAGCGCTGCCCACTCACCATCATCCTTGGCTCGCTCCAGGTCTCGCCTGCATGGGATGGAAGTGAAGAGAGAAAAGCAGCAGAAACAACACAAGGATGCTTCTGCTTCGAGCCTACTCGCCTTTGCTTCGAGGCTACCCGTCATCGTCCTTGGCTCGCTCCAGGTCTCGCCTGCGTGCGATCTAAAGGAAGAGAGAAAATGGACCAGAAACGAGTTTCCATTGAATCCAACATAAGATGGTCTTGCTTGCAACCCACTCGCCAACCTTGGCTCGCTCCAGGTCTCGCCTGCGTAGGATCGAAGCGCCTGCCCTGCACCACGCACTTAAGTACCTCCATTCATCACACAAGCTCGAAGCGCACCTGCCTTGCACCATGTAGCCCAACCCCACCGACCCAACGACCATCATGGACAGCATCGGTAGGCCATATCGAAGGAACGGCCCAGATTTCCGCGATTTGGCCAGAACGCCACGTGTCGGCATATTTAACACCTATATCATACTCTGGCTGCAATGAGAGCTTGTCGCATTCCCACAAGGTCTAAGAAGCTAAACTACCTCATTCCCGAATTCTTGACACGTTCGTTTCAAGGCTCAACGAGAGCGCTAGACTAGAACACTGGAGTTCGGGAGCGCCTATGTTCTGAGGCTGGAAATCATGGTCCCAATTACAGCACTACAAGCAGGTCGGATTGTGTTGGAGAATCGAGTTTCTGCCGCCCCAGCCCTTTGCACACAAGCAGCAGCAAGGGGGAATGTCGGCGATGAATCAGAGCTTCGGGAAGTACTTCGAAAGTTCCACCACCAATCAGATTTCAGCCGAAGACTCGATATAGTTCAAAGCTGCCTTCAAACCGAAGAGTTGGCAGTTTCTACAGGTTTCTACACATCAGAATCAGCTATAACAGAAATATCCAGAGTTTTCTTATTCATGCACCTCATGTGGCACTCAAAGTCACTCAAGGTCCATCCAATCTAGATTGTGCCCAAGTTACTAGGGAAGTTACATTGTCTATCAGCCTAGTTTGAGCTTTCAATCTGTCTTGTTTGTGATGCCTAGAGTTGTGCTTTAGTGGGCTTGTTAATCTTGAACACAGTGAAGTTTTACCTCATCCAGTCAATTCCAGCAGCCCTGCTAAGACTTTCCAGCCAAGTTTCCAGCCCTCCAGTAGTCACAGCTACTCTGTTTTACAAGTTGGTATCAGAGCTTGTCGTTTCGATCAACCTAGCCCACCACGTTCCTATCCTAGCACCATACGAACATGGCGGGAGACAATCCATCTGGTCCTGCACTCCAGCCAGCCGGAGGAGCTTCAGAGTCAACATCAGCAGCTACTGGATTAGTGGAAGCAGTTGCACCAGGCAGTCCTTCAACAACATACTCACCACTCACCTCCTTCATGCCTAAGCTTCACCTCCCCAAGTTCAACGGCAAAGATTTTCCAACATGGGCAACTCAGTTTGAGCTCACTGCATCCCTTCTGGATCTGTGGCCTTACTACACTGGAGAAGCAGCCAAGCCAGCAGCAGATGCTTCAGAAGCTGAAAAACGACTTTACGAACGACGCAACAAGGAGGCCTTCCTCTACCTACTCAATAGCATTCACGAGCAGCAGTTGAAGTCGCTCCTGCCCTGTTCTACCAAGGCAAACAGTGCAGAGGAAGCATGGAGCCGACTGAAGACTATGCACCAGTCAAAATCCGAGAGCAGCCAAGCCGAGATGTGGAGCCGCTTCATGAATCTGAAGATGGAAGAAGATGAATCAGCACAAGCCTACCTACAACGAGCTGAAGCAATGCTGGAGGAAGCAGCAGCGATCGGCTTGGAGATTCCAGAGTCTCTTTTCAAGACCGTCATCCTCACCGGCCTTACACCGGAGTGGGACACTTTCCGTGCAACACTACAAGCGCTCCCGCAGTCAATGAAGAGTCGTGCGTTCATCTTTGAGGCCCTTGTCAACGAGCAGCAGAGTCGAGACCTTGCACGGAACAAGCGTAGTGACGAAGGTGCGTGGAGTGCTGCAGCAGCCACAAGATATGGCAACCAATTCCAGAGGCAAGGAAATTTCAGCCCAAACCGCCCTCAACCCTACTACGGTACGAAATTTCAGTCACCTTCCAACCCATACAAACCCTCTCGTTTTCCTCAGTCAAGTCCTCCCTATAAGTCCAGTCACTATGTCCAGCCAAGGCCTTTGATTCCCAATCAATACCAGCCTAGGAATGCAAGAGTCAATATGCCAAGAGTCAATAATTTCAGCCAAGCCCCGAATGCTAAAAAGTTTAATTTTGAGTGTTTTTGTTGTCATGAGTGGGGTCACCCGTGGTATGCTTGTCCTAAGAAGCCTCCTAATTGGGTCCCCCCACCTCAGCTACTATCTGAAAAAGGTAAGGCAGCCATAGCAAATATAGCAAGTCATTCTACAAGTCAAGATGAGTCCAAAGAGTCCGATGGTCCTGTCCTTTTTAACGCTGCTACTTGCATGCACGTTTTCTCTACTAGTAGTGAGGAGTTTATTCTTGATAGTGGCTGCTCTGAAACCATGACTCCCTATCAGTCCATTCTCAAGGATTTTCAGCCCTCATATGACTCAAAAGCTGTGACTCTTGCTGATCTTGGCAAAGTACCAATCAAAGGAGTCGGCAAGCTTGAGTTCGAAAAGGATGGTAAGTCATTTTGTGTCAATAAAGCTTTGTTTGTTCCTGATTTGGGAGCAAACTTGCTCTCAGCCGGACAACTCGAAGAGAAAGGTGCCTCCGTTCTCTTGCAAGGGGGGAAAGCCAAAGTGTGGGACAGTGCAGGAAATCTGGTGGCTGAAGGCGAGCGTACCGGGCGGCTCTACAAGATGAAGTTGGAGATTAAGCGCGGTGCTAGCAACACGAAGAACGACGTTGTCTCGCTTCCCGCTGTTTCAACCGATCAAGTCAACAACAAAGGGAGTATCTCCCAAGCTGAGGTATGGCATGCACGCTTGGGGCACGTGGGAGTGCAAGCATTGAAAGAGTTGGTAAATCACAAGAGCGTGGAAGGATTGAGTTTGAATGAAAGTGCAGTCAAGTCCCTTTCTTCCGTTCCATGTCCATCTTGTGTGGAAGGTAAACTAGCTAGAAAGCCATTCTTCCCTTCTAAGTCTCAGTCAAGGGACCTCCTAGAGTTGGTCCACACTGATGTCTTCGGCCCCATGCGAGACCCTACTCGAAACGGTAAGAGATATTTGGTGTCTTTCATTGATGACAAGAGTCGTTTCTCGTGGTCCTTTTTCATCAACACCAAGGATGAAGTTCACAAGTGTTTCAAGCAATGGCTAGCACTTGTTGAGAGAGAGTCAGGGAAGAAGTTACTCACCTTGAGGTCGGATCGAGGAGGTGAGTACATGGGGAAAGCGTTTCAGGGGGAGTTGTTGGCATTGGGCATCAAACAACAGTTCACTTGTCCCTATAGTCCTCAGCAAAATGGAGTGGCAGAGAGGTTTTATCGCACTATCCAGGCTATAGCTACCACTTTCCTTCAGTTCAAAGGCCTTGACAAGCTCTGGTGGGGTGAGGCAATCACTATGGCAATTTATGTTCGCAACAGGAGACCCACAAGGCCCTTACCGGAAGGTGTAACGCCATATGAGGCTTGGTTTGGAGTTAAACCAGATCTGTCTATGCTTCGTGTTTTTGGTTCCATGGCCCAATACCGTGTTCCAGATGCAAAGAGACTCAATCTGGACAGCAAAGCTCATTGGGGCCTCTTCATCGGCATGAGCAATGAGAGCAAGGGATGGGTCCTTTGGGATCCTGTCACCAAGCGAGAAGTGGTTTCAAGGGATGTTGTCTTCTATGAAGACATGTCCCTTGCAGGTTGGCATAAGTTTTCCTCTTCCTCCTCTCTACCCTCTATCCAACAGGAACCAGCAAGCGCACCTGAGGAAACAACACAAGAGGAGGAAGAAGATGACACCGATTCTGACCATAGCGGACCGATCATCGATCTCCCTCAAGCCGTCGTCAACGAGTCCAACCGTGCCACGCCAGTGCCACCAGCAGCTACTCAACCAAGTGGAGATGAAGTTCAGCCATCAAATGAAGACAATCCACCGCAGCAAGTCACCGTTCCATCACCACCAAAGGAGCAGCAGCCAACAGTCACAAACCAGCCAGCTATATCAACACCAACCTCACAATTTCAACGCCAACCGGATCAGCCCACCACTACGCCATCAAACCCATCACCAGCCATCACTCCAGAGGCAACTACAGAAGCTCATCATCATCCCATGCAGCAGCAATCAACAGCTACAAGACCCCAAGTACCTACATCAACACCATCTACGACTCTTCCTAGCAACAAGTCAACCGTCACCGCAACACCTCGTTCTCATACCACACGTTCATCACTTGTTCCAACGTCAAGCCAGCTCATAGCACGAGGATCACTTCAGCGAGTCACCACCAACACCAGCTCCAACAGTCCACTTCTTCACCCAAGACCTTTCTCAACTTCACCCCTACGTCCCGGATTCGGTCGTCATCAGTTACCACCATCTTCAACACCGAGCAACAACGCCAACCAGCCCCAACCATCACCACCTCTCGACAAGGCAGCGTCATCATCAATTCCCAAGCTTCTAGTCTCAAGATCCCCACCAAGAGCATCTTCACAACCAACTATGCCGACAAACGTTTCAGCTTCACCGCCACGAGTCACCATACCTAATCCTCAAGTCAACACCGATAATCAAGATATTTCCACGCCAGGAGAAGAACAAGCAGCCGTGCTGCCGTCGCAGCCGATGTCGCAGCCGTTGTCTCAGCTGCAAATGACCGCATCAACGCAATCAAACACTGTGAGACCGAACCCTACCACTAATGTGTCTCAGCCAACTGAGGAGTTTGGTAAAGGTAAACGAGTCCGCAAGGTAAAAAAGCCCTTCAATTTCATGGTTGACATGTCATCAAGGTGCACATGTGAGGAGAGTGAGAATTGCATTCACAAGAAGGTAGAGGCAATATGCATGGCAGCATCACACCTTCCGCGAGAGCTCTTGAGTCGTCGTGAGGCAATGGCAAGTCCCGAAAGAGAGCATTGGTTGAAAGCCGAGGAAGAGGAGATTGAGAGTCTCATGAAGCGAGGTACATGGCGTCTTGTTGAGCCACCTCCAGGGAAGAAGGTAATTGGTGTTAAATGGGTGTACAAGATCAAGGTAAAAGGTGATGGTAGCCTCGATAGGTACAAGGCAAGGTTAGTGGCAAAAGGTTATTCCCAAATTCCAGGTCTTGACTTCACCGAAACCTTTGCCGTGGTAGCAAAGTACACCACGGTACGAGTCCTCCTCGCCATAGCCGCATATCTTGGTCTCCATATCCATCAAATGGATGTCAAGAACGCATTTCTCTACGGTGTCTTGGAAGAAGAGGTATACATGGCACAACCCGAAGGTTATGATGACGGTACGGGTCGAGTGTGTCGCTTGGTAAAGTCCCTTTATGGTCTCAAACAGTCCCCACGGGTTTGGTATCATGCTCTTGAGCAGGTACTTTTCAAGCATGGTTTCACAAGGTCCATGAGAGACAACGCTCTGTACTTCATGCACACGAGTGAGGGGGAGTACATTTGGCTCTTGGTATATGTCGATGACCTCCTCCTAGTCTCAGGTTCTCTTGATCTTCTCAACAAGGTGAAAGGTATTCTCACGAGTGCATTCACGATGACCGATCTTGGTGAGCCGAGTCATTATCTTGGTATGAACATTGTGAGAGATCGTAAGTCACGGTCCATCTTCCTATTCCAGCAAAGGTACATCCAAAAGGTCCTTGAGAGGTTTGGTCTTGATGATAGCAAGCCATCACCTACCCCACTTCCTTCCAAATTTGTCCCTTTGTCTTCACATCAGCCCTATGAAGAGAGAGAGTCAAGCCTTGATATCATAGGGATTAAAGAGTTGTGTCTTGAGGAGAGTGAGCATCATGGTGAGAATTCACTTAAGGTATCCCCACAAGACCTAGCTCTGTACCAAAGTCAGGTTGGGTGTCTCATGTATGCAGCCCTATGCACAAGGCCCGACTTAGCATTCACGGTATCTAAGCTAGCTCAACACATGAGTGCCCCTTCACCTATTCATATGCATGCAGCCAAGCGAGCTCTTCGGTATCTCAAAGGTACTTCTAATCATGGTCTTCTTTTCCAAGCCAGCCCATATGCAAGCTCCCTCCAAGGCTTTACCGATGCAGATTGGGCGGGAGAATTGAGCACACGCAAGTCTACCGGCGGCTACATCTTCCTCATGTGTGGTGCCGCTGTTTCTTGGCAATCGCGCAAGCAAAGTTGTGTGGCACTTTCAACAACCGAAGCTGAGTACATGGCAATGACCGAAGGAGCAAGGGAGGCAATCTGGTTACGTGGACTCTTGGAGGAATTGAGGCAGCCGCAAACTCAACCAACTCCGCTCTACGTGGACAACACTTCAGCCGTAGCTCTTTCCAAGAACCCGGTTCATCATGGGCGTACAAAACACATCGAGGTGCAGTACCACTTCATTCGTGAGCAACTAGAGAAGGGAGTTCTCGCCGTCAACTTTTGCCGTTCATTCGATCAAGCAGCAGATTTCATGACCAAGGTTCTTCCACATGATGCATTCAACATGTGCAAGGCAAGAGCAGGCCTCATGACACTTCATGAAGCAGTGGAGCAGTTTGAGGAGAATGAGGAGTGTGAGGGGAAGAGATGTGGGCAGCAGCATGAAGTGTATGCTAAGGAGATGTGAAAGGAGCATCAGCATGGGTGTATGTGTGCTTCGGGTCTGGTGCGAGGGGGAGTGTTGGAGAATCGAGTTTCTGCCGCCCCAGCCCTTTGCACACAAGCAGCAGCAAGGGGGAATGTCGGCGATGAATCAGAGCTTCGGGAAGTACTTCGAAAGTTCCACCACCAATCAGATTTCAGCCGAAGACTCGATATAGTTCAAAGCTGCCTTCAAACCGAAGAGTTGGCAGTTTCTACAGGTTTCTACACATCAGAAACAGCTATAACAGAAATATCCAGAGTTTTCTTATTCATGCACCTCATGTGGCACTCAAAGTCACTCAAGGTCCATCCAATCTAGATTGTGCCCAAGTTACAAGGGAAGTTACATTGTCTATCAGCCTAGTTTGAGCTTTCAATCTGTCTTGTTTGTGATGCCTAGAGTTGTGCTTTAGTGGGCTTGTTAATCTTGAACATAGTGAAGTTTTACCTCATCCAGTCAATTCCAGCAGCCCTGCTAAGACTTTCCAGCCAAGTTTCCAGCCCTCCAGTAGTCACTACTCTGTTTTACAAGTGATTGTTCATCGACCTTTTTCGCTGACCATCTATCTGTGGTCATGGTGCGGTACCATGTGACGAGGAGGTGGTTCGTCGACGTCAGATTCGAGGGCGCGATCGCGACTCAAATTTTGAGAGGGCTGAGGATCACAGGTCTGGATTGGTCGCCCTCGGGATTGTAAATTACTGAGAGAGTCAGCTCTCTAGGTTTCAGAGACGATAAACATGGTTTCAGTGCGGTGAGATGCACTAGATCTGAACCTCGATCTTGCCAGCTTGTAATTTATCCCAGCAGCCGAACGGGTTTCCAAGCCAGATATCGGTCAGAACGGACTCGAGTAACAACTTTGAGACTTGCACGTTCAGTTACAGAATGATCATAACATTGTAACTGACGCGAAGGACAATAATCACGTAAAAAGGATATCGCTCTCGTACGAATCCCTATTTTGCATGTTTCATGTCAAAGGACACATCAGTTTCGAGATTTCCAACAACCAGCAAACCGTAGTTCCCAAGGCTGTCCTGTCCTTTTCCCAGCCGCTCATAAAGCCAGGGTCTCAAGTAGTACAAGTGTTTTGCAGTTGGTTGTAGGAGGTCGACTGAGATTGGTTAGCGAGGACCAAGTTTAGAGGAGGGGTGAAGCGAGGGTTGCGAAGTGGACACAAATCGTGGCATCCTAATGCACTTGTGGGTGGTCAGGCACGCTCTAGGCTCCTTCTTAGCGCATTGTTGAATCCCCTGAATAAGTGCGTCTGGTGTAGCACGCTTTCGGCTCGCGCGAAGTGCGTTGTAATCTGTCAGGGGTGTTGGATTTCTCTGGTTTTAGCTTGAGAAAATGGACCAATCTGAGGCGAAGGATGCAGCAGCGGCGATCGCGGCACCAGGAGCTGGGGACGGCACAGCGACGGAGGCCCGGGTCGCTGCAGACGCCAGCAGCTTCGGATTGCCTTTCATCCTGAATTACTGGAAAGGTATCGAGATTCCCAGAACCACTATTCTGCTGGGTTGACAACGGCATAAGGCGCCAGCCGCTTAGGAATGCCTTTCATTCTAAATTACTGGAAATGTATAGATATTCCCAGAACCTTATGGGTTGACAATGGCGTAAAGACGCCAGCAGCTTCGGATTGCCTTACATCCTGAATCACGGAGAAGGTATAGCTTCCTCTTTGTTGGGTTGACAGTAATTTTATCGATTCCAGCAGCTTCCAATTGCCTTTCATTCTAAATTATTGGATAGTACAGACAGACAGACTTTTCCAGAGCCTCTTTTTGTTGGGTCGACATATTTATCTCGCATTTCTGGTAAGGCACTGACTGACATCAATGGTAGATTATACAGTACCCACATCAATGGAAGTGGAAGGTTACCCTCTATGCATGCATGCAACTCTCCGTGTCTTTTCATATCACAGACGAGAGTTCGACTTGGAGATTGAAAGATACTAGTTTCATAACATTTTAAAACGCATCCCCACCCCCCCCCCCCCCACCCTCTCCCCTCCTCCCTCTCCCCCCCCCCCCCTCTCCGTGTGTTGTCGTGTCCCAGAGTTTGACTTGGAGAATGCACGGACGTCATTGGACGAGCAAGGGCTGAAGATTGCAGAGAATCAAGAGGCGAGCTCCAAGAACCGGCGGAAGCTGGCAGAGTCCACACGAGGTAGGACAATGTGGAACAAGTAATAAGTCTTCTTAGAGTAAGTATTGAAGGTTAAGGAGAATCAGGAGGCGAGCTCCAAAAACTGGAGGAAGCTGCTAGAGTCGAGGTCAACAACACGAGGTAGGTTGTAAAAAAATCATTCTGAATAGTTATGAGAATACATTTAGAGTAAGAGCTGACAAATGCTGCAGAGGATCGGGGAGCGAACTCCAAGAACTGGAGGGAGCTAGTCGGTCCTGGAGGCGAGAGGTGACGTGTCAACTATTTGGAGTGCGATGGGTATAGGATAGCAGGCTGAGAAGATTGCTGACAGTCTCTCATGCTAGCTGCAGGATTGCCACAATGCCTCAATATGGATCTTCTCGAACAAAATTTCTAACCTCTCCCCCTCTATTAGCATACTTCAAGAATTCATGCAAGGAGGAGCAAAGCAAGCTGTTTGGCACTCCTCAAAGCCTACCAGGAGGAGGAGGAGGACAACCACACAAAGTGCATTGGGATTCCCCCACCCCCTCTCGTTTTATCGTGCTGCAGACTTCAAGAAGGCAGCCAGGGAGGAGCAGAGCAAGCTGTTCGGCTCACTGCTCAAGGCCTACCAGGAGGAGGTGGACAACCTCACAAAGCACATCAATCAAGAAGCACCCTTCGAAGCACCTCTCCACATCCCGTTTTCCCTCTCTGTGCCTCCTGCTGCAGACTTCAAGAAGGCAGGTAAAGAGGAGCAGAGCAGGCTGTTTGGCGCACTCCTCAAGGCCTACCAGGAGGAGGTAGACAACCTCACAAAGCGCGCCAAGTTTGCGGAAGCAGCCTTCCTGGGCGTCTACCAGAAGCTGTACGAGGCTCCGGATCCCGTGCCGTCCCTGGCGTCTGCTGCTGTGAGTATTCAACGTTAGCATCTTGGAGCTGTTAGTGTCACTTTACTTCTCAGCATCTTAGTGCCAAATCATCCAATCCACAAGGTGCTAATATCGATCTGCCTTTTGGGCATCTACAAGAGGCTCCTTAAAGCCCAGTCTTAACTCTACCCCATCCCCAACCTCAAAACCTTCCCGTTCTCATCTCTACTCCTTCCCTTCGCCTCTCTTCAGGAGGTGGCAGCGAGTGCTGCTGAGCTGGCAGCGGAGAATCGGCGAATGCATGCTGAGCTGGAGGAGTTCCGGTCTGAGTCAGCGCACCTTAAGAACCAGCAGGCGACCGTGCGGCGCCTGGAGGAGAGAAACCGACAGCTGGAGCAACAGGTCTGTGGGTAGGGGGCAGCTGTAGCAGTAGTTAGGAGAGGAAGGGATAGACAGATGCATGCCCTGTATGTTTGCAGGCATGTCCATTCGTTTTCCTGATCCCCTGTGTGCATTGTTTCGTTCCCTGTCTGCCCGTTTCTCTGTGTGTGTGTGTGCATCAGAGGAGAAGGTGAAGGAGATGGTGGCAATGAAGCAGCATGTGTTTTCGAGTCATTTCAAGCTGCGTGCCTTTGTTCCCCGTCATGTCCCCCCATGCATCTGTGTGTGCATGTGCACATCAGATGGAGGAGAAGGTGAAGGATATGGTGGCGATGAAGCAGCATGTGCTTCTGTTTCAGACCAAACTTATGTGTGCGCGGCTCCCTGCCTCTGCCCGTGTGTATGTGTGCACGCATGCGTGTGGCAGATGGAGGAGAAGGTGAAGGATATTGTGGCGATGAAGCAGCACGCCCCTTCCTCTGACATGCTTCTTTCATGTCTGTCCCTGTCTGTACACATGCACATGTGCATGCCTGTCTGTCCCTGTCTGTACACATGCACATGTGCATGCATGTCTGTCCCTGTCTGTACACATGCACATGTGCATGCATGTCTGTCCCTGTCTGTACACATGCACATGTGCATGCATGTCTGTCCCTGTCTGTACACATGCACATGTGCATGCATGTCTGTCCCTGTCTGTACACATGCACATGTGCATGCCTGTCTGTCCCTGTCTGTACACATGCACATGTGCATGCCTGTCTGTCCCTGTCTGTACACATGCACATGTGCATGCATGTCTGTCCCTGTCTGTACACATGCACATGTGCATGCATGTCTGTCCCTGTCTGTACACATGCACATGTGCATGCCTGTCTGTCCCTGTCTGTACACATGCACATGTGCATGCATGTCTGTCCCTGTCTGTACACATGCACATGTGCATGCATGTCTGTCCCTGTCTGTACACATGCACATGTGCATGCATGTCTGTCCCTGTCTGTACACATGCACATGTGCATGCATGTCTGTCCCTGTCTGTACACATGCACATGTGCATGCATGTCTGTCCCTGTCTGTACACATGCACATGTGCATGCATGTCTGTCCCTGTCTGTACACATGCACATGTGCATGCATGTCTGTCCCTGTCTGTACACATGCACATGTGCATGCATGTCTGTCCCTGTCTGTACACATGCACATGTGCATGCATGTCTGTCCCTGTCTGTACACATGCACATGTGCATGCCTGTCTGTCCCTGCATCCCTGGAGGAGAAGGTGAAGGAGATGGTGGCGATGAGCCAGCATGTCCGTCTGATGCAGATCAAATTTATGTGTGCACATCTCCCTGCCTGTTCCCGTATGTATGTGTGCACGTGCATCAGATGGAGGAGAAGGTGAAGGAGATGGTGGCCATGAAGCAGCATGTGCTCGCAGAGGAGAGCCAACGGAGCATGGAAACACTCAAGTCAAGGCAAGTCAACGCTGGTCAACGTAGGCCCAAGGCTGGTCATGGTAGAGGCAGGGTCAGTACAGTCGAGTCAGGTTCAAGGCAGTTCCAATGCAAAGGCGAAGGCAGGGTCAATGCAGATTAAGGCAGGGTCAACATAGTTCAATGCAGGGTCAACGCAGGTCAATGCAGGGTCAAGACAGGGTAAAGGCAGGGTTAAGGAAGGCAGTCAACACAGGTCAAGGTAGGTCAACCCTGGCTGCCAGGATCATGCGTTTTAGGCCAGGATCAATGTTTCCAGGTCATTGCGAGTCAGTGCGAGTCCATTGCTTCGGATAGACATGATCAACGAACCGAACCTGGGTTCGGTTCGCTCAAACAGGTTCGAATTGTAACGAACCGAACTTTTTTTCTCCTGAAAAATGTTAGCGCAAACCTTAAAAAAGTTCGCGTGAACAGTTCGCGCGAACTTTTCTGATTTGAGTTTTGAACTTCGAACCGAACAGGTTCGAGGTTCAAAACACCAATTTTTGAACTTCGCGGGGTTCGAATTAGACCCCCGCCAAAACCCACTAGACTTTCCGGTCAAATTCGGGAAAGTCGTAGGGTTGGCTGCCAACCCTAACTTCGTCAGTTAGGTACAGCAGATCTAGATCTGCTCCTAAGTACCACACCACACCCAAGCTCCCACACTACTAAAGGTTCACTACAACTGCCTCTTAAGATGCGTGATACGTTTAGGTGTTAGGTTAGATAGTACACTGCGCATAATTTATTGTTTTAGCTGAAGGGGAGCATTCCGTGTTTAACACTTCCTCCAAGAATTGGTGCACTTAACTTAACAAAACATCAAGCATGTCGAATCACGGCAAGCCCCGCAATGAGGCCGTCAGAGAGCGCCAAGAGGGGCCGCCATTGGGTGGGCCGCAAGGTGCTCCCACGCCTGGTCCACCGGCCAGGTTTGGAGAAGATTCCTTGCCACTCCCCGGGTCGGTTCACACCTTCAGGGTGGAACGGAGCTGCGGGGAGTGCGTGCTAATTCAGGTGTGGAGAGGGCTTCGGTAGGGGATGGCGAGGGTGCCGCGGCGGGGGAGGAGGAGGGGAGGAGGAGGAGGAGGAGGAGGAGGAGGAGGAGGAGGAGGAGGAGGAGGAGGAGGAGGAGGAGGAGGAGGAGGAGGAGGAGGAGGGGGGGGGGGACGAGGAGGAGGAGGAGGAGGGGGGGGGGGGGGGGGGGACGAGGAGCACGTGGAGTACCGTGTGGCAGGGGACAGTGAGGGGAGATTCTGCCCGTGCTGCAGCAGCAGTGGACTTGGGGCTCGAGGGGGAGGAAGACTGCGAGGAGGAGGAGGAGGAGGGGGAGGTGCCATGTGCAGCGGGTGTGGGAGAGGGCATGGGCTTGGGTGTTGAGGCTGTTTGGGGTCGCGTGGAGGGGTGGTGCTAGTGCAACCCGTATGCAGATTGGTTTGACCCTTCGTTGTTTGGGTGGTGGGATTTTTTTTACCCTCTCATTTGCTGTTCTGTTTTGAATTTGATACTCTCGCTGAACCGTGTGACGTGCATGCCTTTTACATTTCCTTCGGCATCATATTTACCCCCAAACCTAACTAGGTTCGAGTTCGCACCAACCTTTCAAGGTTTGAGCAAACCTTTAAGGTTCGTTGTTACATATACAAACCTCAAACCTCAAAATTCAAAAAAAAAAATTGAGCAAACCAGTTCGGTTCGGTTCGACCCCCATGTAAGGTTCGAAAAAGTTTGAGCAAACATGTTTGAGTTCGGTTCGTGCTCATATCTAGCTTCGGATGCAACCCTTGGGTTTGGTAGCATCACCTTCTTCACCACTCTCCATCCCACCACCATCCCCTCCACTCCTGGTTCCCCTATTTCCGCGGAAGCTTTTTGCAATCTCCCTCACACCGCTCTCCTACTCCCTCCCCCCTTTCCCCTCTTCCCACTCCTCTCTCTCGTCCCTGGCAGGGAGGATGCGCTGCAGGAGCAGCTGAGGGCGGTGAGGGAGACAGTGAGCAGACATGATGATGATGTGACGCGCCTCAAAGACCCCCTTTTCGTTCGTTCCTCCCTGGCAGGGAGGATGCGCTGCAGGAGTAGCTGAGGGCCGCAAGCGAGACAGACAGAGAGCATGCATGTTCTCTTTTTGCACTTGAAAACAGAAACGATTTTCATGACACCTCAGAAACCCCCCCTTCCCCTCCTCCCCCTTTCTGCTGGCAGGGAGGATGCGCTGCAGGACCAGCTGAGGGCGGCGAGGGAGACAGTGAGCAACATGCAGCGGCTGCACGAGATGAGCCAGTCGCAGCTGTTTGAGCTCAAGGCTCAGTCAGGTGGGCGTGCAGTACTGATAGGTCATCTTAGCTTCACAGCACAGCACAATATAGCAACAGTGCGGTCAGATGGTCCAGACAGTGAGTAACATGCAGCGGTTGCATGAGATGAGCCAGTCACAACTGTTCGAGCTCAAGGCGCAGGCAGGTGGGCTTGAGTGGGTTAATTTCCCCAGAAAAATCAGAATCAGGGATGCTGAAGGTCAAGGCCAAGAAGAGGTTCTTTTGCAATTATGTCTATGTTCTTCTGCCACCTTTTCATGGCAGAAAATGGACGTATTCGCCTCCATTCGTTCCATCTCATGCATACATACATACTATCCGCTCCCATCGAAATCGTTCTCCTCATTTAAGCTTGCGCGCATATTTCCGTTCCGGTTTCATTGCATCTCCTTCCTGACCATACATGCTTTTCTCAGGACTTCCCTTTTGCGTTCAGTTAAAGGAAAATGATGAGCCCGAGTGTCCTTCTGTCCTTCCTTCCCGCGACACCCTCCCCCCTCTCCCCCTCTCTCCCCCCGTACTCCCCATTCGTGGATTCTCGTCCATCAGAGGAGGATCGCACATCGAAGCAGGGTGAGGTGAATTTGCTCTGCTGACAGACGAGGTGGAGCATGTGATGTTTAACCGCTGTCCTCCTCCCCCACCCACCCCCTCCTGCTCTTCCCTGCACCAACCCCATCAGAGGAGGATCGCGCATCGAAGCAGGGCGAGGTGAATCTGCTGACAGACGAGGTGGAGCGAGCTCAGGCACGGCTGCTGGCTCTGGAGAGAGAGAAGGTGAGCGGGTGGGAGCTAGGGGTGGACTGGGGTGGAGGGTAGGGGCGCATTGGGTGAGGAGAGGGAAAGCAAGGCGGATTGAACGAGGTGGAGCGAGCTCAGGCACGGCTGCTGGCTCTGGAGAGAGAGAAGGTGAGCGAGTGGGAGCTAGGGGTGGACTGGGGTGGAGGGTAGGGGCGCATTGGGTGAGGAGAGGGAAAGCAAGGCGGATTGAACGAGGAAAGAGAAAAGGTGAGATTTGCAGGTGTCGTGTTGAGAGGGAGAATATGAGACGCGAGAGAGAAGGTGAGAGGGGTGGGAGGTAGGGGTGCACTGCACTGGGTGAGGAGAGCGACAGCAAGGCGGATCAAACGAGGTGGAGCGAGCACAGGCTCGGCTTCTGGCTCTGAAGGTGAGGTGGAAAGATCAGATGGGAGGGGAGGAATCGTAACAGGGGAGTGAGAGAGATCATGCAGTACAGGGAGAGAAGGTGAGAGGGTTTTTAGTCGACTCAAAAAGACTGCTGGCTCTGAAGGTGAGGTGGAAAGATACGATGGGAGGGGAGGAATCGTAACTAGGGGAGTGAGAGAGATCATGCAATAGGGCAAGAGAAGGCGAGAGGGGGGAATGCGAGAATGGGGAGATAGTGCGAGAGGAAGAGGGATAAGATGAGGTAAAAAGTGAGGTTGTGAGCGAAAATTGGTAGGTACAGTGCAGTGCAGTGCAGTGCAGTGCAGTGCAGTGAAGTGCAGTGGCTTGAGCTGAGTGCAGGTACGGGGTGAGGTGACTTGGTGAGGTGACTTGGTGAGGTGACTTGGTGAGGTGACTTGGTGAGGTGACTTGGTGAGGTGACTTGGTGAGGTGACTTGGTGAGGTGACTTGGTGAGGTGACTTGGTGAGGAGACTTGGTGAGGTTTGCTGTTAAAGTGCAACAGCACTTCAACTTGAGTTGACATGGATGAAGACGAGGCTCATCTGCCATCCTACTTTCACACATGCCATCCCACCATCCCATCATGCCACCATCTCACTACCCCAACATTCCATCCCATCATCCCACCCCCCAGGAAGCTCTCAAGGCGCAGCTGCAGACCGCACAGCCCAACGAAGCAGCAGATGGCGAGAGGTGAGCTGCTGCTGCCGCCACCTCATGTGCACCCATAAAACGCACTTGGTTCCACCTGTTGGCTTGGCACATGGGCATATTGCACAGCCCAGTGAAGCAGCAGGGAAGTGGAGGCACATGAGACGCTGCTGCTGCCTTTGTTAACACCGTTTCTGTTGCCGGAGGCGTGCAAACAACATGACAGGAGTATCATGCCACCTCATGTGTACTCCTGTCATGTTGTTTGCACGCCTCCCCTGTGTGAGCTTGCCTCGTCATCCCGCCCATACCCTTCACTTTCCTGCTCCGTTTCCCTTTCTTTTGCACTCATGCTGCTCGTGCATGTCAGTTTGTCACTCTCTCTTGTTCTTGATTATGATGCACTCTTCCCCTGTGTCAACTTTTGAGGCGCCTCAAAAGTCGCCTGTGTCACATCAGCTTATCTTATCATCTCTTCCTCATCCCTCCCTCACCGCTCACCCCTCAACTCTCGCCCTTCCCCCTTCTCCTACTCCTCTTGCACCCTACCCAGCACGAACAGCGGTGGGGCGGTGGGGTGGGAGGCGACTGTGAGGGCCAAGGAGGTGGTGATAGCATCGCTGCACTGGAGGCAGCAGGGGGCCCATACCCATACCCCTAGTTTTGAGACGTCTCAAAACTAGGAGCTGCACGCACTGGAGGCAGCAGGGGGCCCATACCCATACCCCTAGTTTTGAGACGTCTCAAAACTAGGAGCTGCACGCACTGGAGGCAGCAGGGGGCCCATACCCATACCCCTTATGCCTCTCTTCTCTGCTCCCCTATCTACAGCACGGACAGCAGTGGGGCGATCGGATGGGAGGCGGCAGTACGAGCTAAGGAGGCGGTGATAGCATCGCTGCACCAGGAGCTTCACACACTGGAGGCAGCTGGGGCGGCTGAGAGGGAGGAGCAGCGGGCGGAGGTGAAACGACTCAAGGCGCTGCTGCAGGAGCAGGTGGGCGCTTAGGCAGATAGTGTGGGTGGGGTAAGCTGCTATCAACCAAGGCGGGTTGATGGAAGAGAGGGAGGAGGCAGAGGGAAGAGGCAGTGAGAGTACCTTGCTCGTGAGTGGCCTACTTTCATCAGACTTACTTGACAGAGAGAGTTACCACTCTCCACTTTCTCAAGGCATCCGAGGGAGTGACCTACTTTCAACTTAATTCTGATGCCTGCTATAAGTGTTCGGCACTTGGGTTCCACGGTCCTTGTTTGTGTTTATTATGAATCTTGTTTGTTTGTTTGTTTGTTTTTTCTCAAGGCACTGAATTCCCACCATTTACTTCCCACCGCCCACCGCTGCCCTGCACCCACCCATGACCAGGAGGCGTCAATAGGTGCACTGAGAGCGGAACTGGCTACCAGGCCCACGCAGAGGCAGTGGGAGGACCTGCGCAAACAAGTGAAGATCCTGCAGGTGAGAGGCAGCGTGGGCAGTCAAGTCAAGGTTAGCAACACCAACTCTTTTCGATTGTTTTTGGCTTAAATACTTCACAACCACATCGAGCTGAAACATGCCACGACTTTAGCGTTCCCTTTCCATCTCCCGTTCCCCCGTCCGTACATCCATCCACCGTCCCTAGGCTGTGGGCTACAATGCAGTGGAAGTGGACGACTGGGATGAACCAGGCATGTCATCCAACGGTCCAGGATCGTCCTCCGATCTCTCTGCTGCTGCAGATGGGGACAGTGGGAAGGGGGGAGGGGATGGGGGAGTGATGCGCAGCAGCAGTGGGGCCGACATTGGGAAGCTGGAGGTATTGCTGCTGGAGAAGAACAAGAGAATGGAGCACGAGTTGACCCAAGTCAAGGTGAGTCAAGGTCCGTACGCACAAATGAGGGAAGTGAGTGGTGCGCAGCAGGAGTGGGGTTGACATCCCCTCGCCTTCCCTGCTCATACCATACCACAGTCAGAAACACCTGAGAGTGAGTGTTGGCCAACAGAAGCCTCTCATTGGCTGGCTGAAGGCTGATATTCTCAACTCAAGGTCCTATTGACATGACATGCCTCCCCTATTTCACCTCGTCTCTCCCGTCTGCTGTTTCGCCCCTTCCCCGTTCCTTTCCTCCCGTCCACCCTCTAACACCACACCAGATGCGTTTGAGTGAGAGGTAGGAGGAGTGTGATCGGGAGGAGTGTGATCGTGAGGGAGGAGTGAGAGCGAGGAGGAGTGTGATCGTGAGGGAGGAGTGAGAGCGAGGAGGAGTGTGATCGTGAGGGAGGAGTGAGAGCGAGGAGGAGTGTGATCGTGAGGGAGGAGTGAGAGCGTGGAGGAGTGTGATCGTGAGGGAGGAGTGAGAGCGAGGAGGAGTGTGATCGTGAGGGAGGAGTGAGAGCGAGGAGGAGTGTGATCGTGAGGGAGGAGTGAGAGCGAGGAGGAGTGTGATCGTGAGGGAGGAGTGAGAGCGAGGAGGAGTGTGATCGTGAGGGAGGAGTGAGAGCGAGGAGGAGTGTGATCGTGAGGGAGGAGTGAGAGCGAGGAGGAGTGTGATCGTGAGGGAGGAGTGAGAGCGAGGAGGAGTGTGATCGTGAGGGAGGAGTGAGAGCGAGGAGGAGTGTGATCGTGAGGGAGGAGTGAGAGCGAGGAGGAGTGTGATCGTGAGGGAGGAGTGAGAGCGAGGAGGAGTGTGATCGTGAGGGAGGAGTGAGAGCGAGGAGGAGTGTGATCGTGAGGGAGGAGTGAGAGCGAGGAGGAGTGTGATCGTGAGGGAGGAGTGAGAGCGAGGAGGAGTGTGATCGTGAGGGAGGAGTGAGAGCGAGGAGGAGTGTGATCGTGAGGGAGGAGTGAGAGCGAGGAGGAGTGTGATCGTGAGGGAGGAGTGAGAGCGAGGAGGAGTGTGATCGTGAGGGAGGAGTGAGAGCGAGGAGGAGTGTGATCGTGAGGGAGGAGTGAGAGCGAGGAGGAGTGTGATCGTGAGGGAGGAGTGAGAGCGAGGAGGAGTGTGATCGTGAGGGAGGAGTGAGAGCGAGGAGGAGTGTGATCGTGAGGGAGGAGTGAGAGCGAGGAGGAGTGTGATCGTGAGGGAGGAGTGAGAGCGAGGAGGAGTGTGATCGTGAGGGAGGAGTGAGAGCGAGGAGGAGTGTGATCGTGAGGGAGGAGTGAGAGCGAGGAGGAGTGTGATCGTGAGGGAGGAGTGAGAGCGAGGAGGAGTGTGATCGTGAGGGAGGAGTGAGAGCGAGGAGGAGTGTGATCGTGAGGGAGGAGTGAGAGCGAGGAGGAGTGTGATCGTGAGGGAGGAGTGAGAGCGAGGAGGAGTGTGATCGTGAGGGAGGAGTGAGAGCGAGGAGGAGTGTGATCGTGAGGGAGGAGTGAGAGCGAGGAGGAGTGTGATCGTGAGGGAGGAGTGAGAGCGAGGAGGAGTGTGATCGTGAGGGAGGAGTGAGAGCGAGGAGGAGTGTGATCGTGAGGGAGGAGTGAGAGCGAGGAGGAGTGTGATCGTGAGGGAGGAGTGAGAGCGAGGAGGAGTGTGATCGTGAGGGAGGAGTGAGAGCGAGGAGGAGTGTGATCGTGAGGGAGGAGTGAGAGCGAGGAGGAGTGTGATCGTGAGGGAGGAGTGAGAGCGAGGAGGAGTGTGATCGTGAGGGAGGAGTGAGAGCGAGGAGGAGTGTGATCGTGAGGGAGGAGTGAGAGCGAGGAGGAGTGTGATCGTGAGGGAGGAGTGAGAGCGAGGAGGAGTGTGATCGTGAGGGAGGAGTGAGAGCGAGGAGGAGTGTGATCGTGAGGGAGGAGTGAGAGCGAGGAGGAGTGTGATCGTGAGGGAGGAGTGAGAGCGAGGAGGAGTGTGATCGTGAGGGAGGAGTGAGAGCGAGGAGGAGTGTGATCGTGAGGGAGGAGTGAGAGCGAGGAGGAGTGTGATCATGAGGGAGGAGTGAGAGCGAGGAGGAGTGTGATCGTGAGGGAGGAGTGAGAGCGAGGAGGAGTGTGATCGTGAGGGAGGAGTGAGAGCGAGGAGGAGTGTGATCGTGAGGGAGGAGTGAGAGCGAGGAGGAGTGTGATCGTGAGGGAGGAGTGAGAGCGAGGAGGAGTGTGATCGTGAGGGAGGAGTGAGAGCGAGGAGGAGTGTGATCGTGAGGGAGGAGTGAGAGCGAGGAGGAGTGTGATCGTGAGGGAGGAGTGAGAGCGAGGAGTGTGATCGTGAGGGAGGAGTGAGAGCGAGGAGGAGTGTGATCGTGAGGGAGGAGTGAGAGCGAGGAGGAGTGTGATCAAGCGAAGGCTAAGTTGGTAGCACTGGAAGGGACAGTGGCAGAGCAGAGCAGAGGGCGCTCATAGGCAAAGTAGAGGAGGATATCCTCAAAGGCCCTTTGCATTAAACTGCCTCTCCTATTTTTGAGACGTCTCAAAACCAAAGGCCCTTTGCATTAAACTGCCTCTCCTATTTTTGAGACGTCTCAAAACCAAAGGCCGTATGCATTAAACTGCCTCTCCTATTTCACCTCCATTCCATCCACCCTCTAACACCCCTTCAGATGCGTCTGAGTGAGAAGGAGGAGGAATGTGCGGAGGCGAAAGCGAAGTTGGCGAAAGTAACCAGGTGATGAGGAGGTGGCGGGAGTGTACCTGCAGGAACCAGCCGCCGCCCTCCTCTCTCCTCTCTCTCTCCCCGCAGTGCCGCTGTGGGGGAAAGGGGGGACGATATTCCCAAGGGCCCCTTCTTATTGTTCCCCCTCGTTTGTTTCGCTCCTTCCCTCCTCCCTCCAACACCCTTCCAGATGCGTCTGAGTGAGAAAGAGGAGTGCGATCAAAGGAAATCGAAGTTGGCAGTGTTGGTAGGCACAGTGGGGGAGCAGAGGGCGCTCATAGGCAAGCTAAAGGACAACATTCCCAGGAGCCCCTTCTTATCGACCTCTCTCCCTTATTCCCCTACTCCCGTATTACTCATATTACTTCAAACACCCTCTCCAGATGTGTCTAAGTGAGAGGGAGGAGGAATGCAATGAAACGAAAGCTAAACTGGCGACACTGGAAGGCACAGTGGCGGAGCAGAGGGCGCTCATAGGCAAGTTGGAGGACGACATTCTCAAGGGCCTCTTCTTCTTTCTCCTCCTCCCCTGCCCCATGCTTACAACCCTTCAGATGCGTCTGAGTGAGAGGGAGGATGAATGCGATCAAGCGAAGGCTAAGTTGGCGACACTGGAAGGCACAGTTGCAGAGCAGAGGGCGCTCATAGGCAAACTGGAGGACGATATTCTCAAAGGCCCTTTCTTATCGATCCCCCTCCCTTTTTTCCCTCCTCCCTTCTCCCTGTAACAACCCTCCAGATGCGTTTGAGTGAGAAGGAAGAGGAGTGTGATGAAGCGAAAGCGAAGGCAGCAGCACTGGAAGGGACCGTGGCAGAGCAAAGGGCACTCATAAGCAAACTAGAGGACGATATTCTCAAGGGCTATGGCGCACGGGACAAGCACCGGGCGGTTTCCGTTGGAAGCATTGTCTCGATGCCTGGAGCAGCGGGCGGCAGCGGTGGTGGGGATGGTGGTGGTACAGGTGGCAGCGGCGGATTGGTGGATGATGATTCGGTGCTCATGGTGGTGTGTGGGCAGCGGGACAGGTTTCGACAGCGAATGGGAGAATTGGAAGAGGTGAGGGAGGGGAGGGACGGGGAGTGGGGGGAAGGGAGGGCAGGGATGGCGGTGAGGGGATGGGGTTGTTGAGGAGCCGGGAAGGGGAGATGGGGTGTGTGGATAGGTACTACACAGTACCTCATGCAGGCAGCAGGACAGATCTCGGCAGCGAATGGGAGATCTGGAAGAGGTGACAGAGAACAGGGCAGGGGAAGAGAGGAAACGAGAAAAGAGGGGAGGGAAATGGGAGAGAAGGGGTGTTTTCAAGCATTAGGTGTGAAGTGAAGATGATGATGATAGTGATGGTGGTGATTCGTTGCTCATTGTGGTGTAATATGGTATGCAAAGGGCGCTGTGTGTGACATCCCCCTTTCTCATAGGCATTTCTCAATGCTTGCAACACCGTTTTTTATTTGCCTTTTCTTTGTTTTCTAATATATAATCAATAGAAATGTGTTCATTTGATTATATGAACTTCTCCATTTCTCTTATTCAGGAGCTGCGGGCAGAGAGGGAGAGGAGCGGCAAGCTGGCAGCAGAGGTGGATCGGTTGAAAGCAGACAACGTGAAGCTGTATGAGCGCATGCGCTACGTGCAGGACTACACAAGTGCTGGAGCAGGAGGAGGGGACAGACCCAACAGTAGTCGATCCAGGAAGGTATGTGTGAGCAGTACACCCATCGTCCCATGGGGTTATTTTTGAGTCGACTCAAAAGAAGGTATGTGTGAGCAGTGCACCCATCGTCCCATGGGGCTATTACTGGTTGAAGGTGGACAGCGTGAAGCTGTACGAGCGCATGCGATACGTGCAGGACTACACGAGTGCTGGAGCAGGAGGGGCAGACCCAACTCCAGTCGGTCGAGAAAGGTACGTGCAGGACTACACGAGTGCTGAGGGGACTGCTGTCTCCCTGTTAGGCTAGACTGGTCTCTGGTACAGTGACAGCTGACAACGTGAAGCTGTATGGGCGCATGCGATACATGCTTTTGAGGCGCCTCTAAAGAACTCGTATGGTGACAGCAGTTATACAGCTTCACGTTGCACTCGCATGCGATACGTGCGAAGCGAACAGCCATCAACCCCTTCCATTTCCATCAGTTCGCATCCTTCACTCACCTGCCTATCTGCGCCCTCTCCCTCCTCTCCCCTCCATCCACCGCCAGAGTGACATAGAGGAAGGACCAGCTGCAGAGGTGGAGAGCAAGTACAAGAAGATCTACCAGGAAACCATCAACCCTTTCTCTTTGTCCCTTGCGCTCTCCATCCTCAACCCCACGCCCCGCCTCCATCACGCCACACCAGAGTGACGTAGAGGCGGGTCCAGCAGTGGACGTGGAGAGCAAGTACAAGAAGGTCTACGAGGAGAGACCATCAACCCCTTCCCTCACCGCCCAACTTCCATCCTACTTCCTGTCTCCACCACCACCCATTACCCCCTGCCTCCTTCCACATCAGAGCGACATAGAGGCGGGTCCAGCAGCAGATGTGGAGAGCAAGTACAAGAAGATCTACGAGGAAACAATCAACCCCTTTGCTGCTTTCTCCACCAAGGTGCGCGCCGCCAGCATCTGCTCCCTGCTGCGCTGCACCCTGTTATGCATTGCAAACTACATCTTTAAGGCCGCAGAAATGTGCCTCATCGTAGGTTATCATGATAACTTTTCGTCATGGACCATCATAGGGGTTATCATGATAACCTTTCGTCATGGACCATCATAGGGGTTATCATGATAACCTTTCGTCATGGACCATCATAGGGGTTATCATGATAACCTTTCGTCATGGACCATCATAGGGGTTCCGCAGTTTTTTCCCATCATGTCATGTCGTTCCAATTGCTGCTCCTCTGTAAATGCATTGCAAACAGGAGAGGGAGCAGCGAGTGAGGGACCTGGGTCTGCGAGACAGAATCACCCTCACCAGTGGCAAATTCCTCCTCTCCAACAAGTCAGTCACTTATCTAATCCTGTTCAGTCACTCTTCGCCTCGTTTAACCACTCATCTCCTCCCGTTCATCCGTCTTCCCCCCCCTCCCCCCCCCCCCCCCCCCCCCCCCTGTTTCCATTACACCAACCACTGCCAGCTTCGCCTCTCAAGCTTTGTACCATCTTTCTGCTCATGATTTGGGCTATCTCGTAACGCCCATGTGTTTATTTGTTTCTGAAATTGACTATGAACACGCATTTTCATTTCTCTCCCTTGGGTTCTTCCACCTTATTATGCGCGCAAGTTTGTCCTTTTCTATTGCATCTGGTGCTGCCTTGTAAGGCTTAGGGTTGAATGAAGTATGCACATCTTCTGTTTTCCCCCTTTGTGTTCTCTCCCAGGTATGCGTGCACGTTTTTCGTATACTCCATCGGCCTGCACGTCCTCGTGGCTCTCAGCATTTAAGGCGCCTCAAAAGCCGATTAGTGTTCTTTTTCCATACATAACAAGTATCTCCTCTTCTCTTCGCTCCCTTGTGCTCTTCCCCAGGTACGCGCGCACGTTTGTCTTCTTCTACTCCATTGGCCTCCATATCCTTGTGGCTCTCAGCATGTACCGCCTCTCCAGCCTCAGTTATGCCAGGTCAGTAAGCATGCATAAATGTCTAATTCGAGTGCTTGCACATGTGCATGCTTGAACATGCTTTCCTTCCCTTCTAGCCTTGTAGTAGTATACATGTAGTAAGGACTCAAAGAGTTCTGAATATGCCTCACGGTTTGGCACCCCTTCCTTGTCCCCTCCGCTTTGGGTTTCAGGATAAAGTTTGACGAGGCTGAGCTTCCATCGAAGCACTCGCTATTGACCGCAGCTCTGAGGTCACGCAATGCCACATTGGGCAGTGGCCATTCATCGGGTTGATCGAGAAGAAATGAAACATTGTGTGATATACAATGGATGCATGTACATTATGTTGCGCTTCTCACCAGGTCTATCTTTGCTGCTTAATCCTTGGCTACAATGCACACTGCTCTCAGCCCCCAAATTTTATATTTCTCATACTAACACCTGTATATACCGATGCTTCATACCTCCAGTGGTCTTGCAGCGCAGCACCTTCAAAGGGAGTCACTCGGCTAAACGAACAAGGGGATCGTTGGCCAAATTGTTCATGCTTTTAAAAGTTGACGAGAGGGAGTTTTTCTGGTCTGGGTTTTGGCGAGAGTTTCCAATTTCGTCAAAGTCGTTATTTTCGCGAGACCTAGCCAAGCCTCGTTTTTTCGGCTGGAATATATTCAGAGGTCTGTGGATCAGTCATCGAAAGTCCCAAATTGCATGTGCGCTACTTTTCAAAGCTTGCACACTCCACTTCGTCAAGTTTCTTTTAAACTTGACCCGCGCGCTCCGCAATTTGGGACACGGGCTTTAAATCAGATCAGGGCAGGTGTTGGGTGAGGTCGAGTGGGGAGGATATACCTCAGCCGACGAAAACTGCCGCCCAATTTCGCGGTTGCGATAGGACAACGGCCCTCCTCGGGATTGACGAACTCCCGACGACTCCGAGTGGCAAACTGGGGCGAAATGGCAGACCTAACACCTCGGGACTGTCGACGATCTGACGACCTCGGGTTTCGCTGAGATAAACCCGAGAAGGACATCTCAGCGGACAAAAACTCACAGCACGACACGTCGAGCCGCGATTTCAGCGCGGGAACTCCACTGCGCGCCCAAATTTGTCGGTGGCCGATCCACGCGGCGAAGATCTGTCCGTCAAAAAATGTTACAGTTGTCTGGCATCGCGAGCTGCTCGCCATGTCGGTGTCGACTAAGGATCCAACGGGATTGTCCGGACCACGAAAGTCGGCGTCGACCACGAGGGCTCACGGTGGGCTTGCCACGCGGCTCTTCAATAACTCCGTGCCCTTAGGCAATGGAAGTCGGCATGTCGGCGTTTCTGCGTAGAGGCACCAATGATGGGCCCACGCCACGTAACGCACGCACATACCACCGTGGACGTGCCCAGGCTTACGCCCCGTGAGTGCAGCGCGGCGACCCATTAGCCATGCATGGCTCGTGGCACGTCGGACACTGCGCTGCCGCACGAGAACACATGCATAGCGGCACAAGCATAGGGGGTTGCGTGAAGCGCGGCAAAATCGGGAGTCGCTCACGACCATACCCCTCCGTGACCTTGCGCTGGTGCTCATTCCATTGTGCGTTCCTGCGTTCCTTCCTGCTCCCTCTTCCACTTTGAATTTTCCTCTCCCTAGCTATCTTCGCGAGTGTGGGTTACTCGTGCGCCGACCAATCGATCACGTCGGCACCGGTAGCGTGTTTAGGTAACCGATCACAACTAACTAGGTCGGCGACGCATGTCCAGAGCACGGCCTAGAGCCCAACAGCCGCAACCCATCCCACCCCCTGCCGACTCTGTAGACGCCGACATCAAAGCACAGCTGGAACGCCTCGAGCTCGCCGCTGAGTTAGAAGCACTTGAGAGAGAATCCGACGAAGACGCCTGAGCAACTCATCGGGTGTACACCGCACCCGCGACTCAGTACCGTCTCTGGTGGTCCATCCCTTACCTCGAACATGGTCGACGGTATAGCAAACTACGAGCGGCCTCATGGCAGACGTCGACATGCCCGACGTTGGTCCCCCAACCGACCACATTGACACCTCTACCCCCGAAGAGACGCTCAAGTTACTCTACGATCTTGACGCACTGACACAGATTCCAGAAGGGGATTTCACCAAGGACATTCCCCCACCGCCGATAGGAGAGTTTACCAAGCCAGCTAGTAAGTCCACACCGACGTAAGATGGGCAGCCTGGACCTTCGTCGGTACCGGGCGGCTCAGGAAACCAGGTTGATGATGAGGAGGAGGAGGAGGAGGAGGAGAGCGACGACGAATACGACGAGCGTCCTCCGCGTAGCACGAATCCGCGAACCTTGGAAGAACGCCTCCGGCGGGAACTTGAATACATAGATGACATGCTAGAACAGGACGAGGACGAGGACGAGCAGAACATGGCGGTGCCACGCGAACAGTGGAGAGCAGCAGACTTCGTCGAGGACGACATGGTTTACGCAAGCATCGACGTGCTGGTCATATACGCCCTACGCCACCTGCAAACCTTGGAGAAGAATAGCACGCTGAGGCTGTACACCTCGTTCATCTACCATTACAAGAGGTGGGCGGCGAAAATGCTGACGCAAATACGCGACAAGCTTCCCCAGGAGCACAGGCTTAGGCACGTCGACGAGATCGGCCACTACATCCGGGACAACAAGAAGAAGAATTGGGACAAAGTGGCCGAGGTCCCCCGAGAGTACATCTGGCTGCACGGCCCTAGGGTAACCGAAACCCGGCTGCGCGCCTATGTGAAGTTCATGATACGTGAGTGTCAGCTCGATGCCGAGTCGATCGAGGAGGGGAACAATGCCCCGCGAACCCAGCCGGTGCAAGGTACAACGGTGCACACGCTCCTCGGGCGCATAAAGGCATGCCAGATGGCGGCGAGAGTGGAGGCGACGCTCTACCGGGAGAAGGAGCTGAGCATCATGCGGGAGATATCGGTGGTCAGATCGGAGGTGCGGTTCATGGTCCGCACCAAGAACGAGAGGGACGTCAAGTAAGTTTGTCGACACCGCCAACCTCTGTCCATGTCACTATGAAGTCGACGCCGTCAAACTCAAAATACTCGGTGGCTTTGTGGGCAGGAATTGTGCCGACCGACGTCGCGGCACCATCGGCGATACATACACCGCCGAACAGTTCCGCCAGATCATGATGAAGGTGCTGCCGACATGGGCGGCGTCGGCGTGGAACCCGCGGGCAACCGCTCCTTCGCAGACGCTGTGGCGATTTCTGCTCACCAAGGCGCTCACGCTACTCTCCCACCACACTCTCCTGCGAGGCGCCAGCATCCGCGAGATCACGCTCCCCGACATCTTCTTGTACCGACTGGCTAGCACCTCGTCGATAAACCCGGAGAACCAGCCGGTCGTCATGGTGATCGCCGCGCGGAACTCGAAGACTTCCAAGGATGCCCGTCTTCAGCAGAGCTACGCGGCGCGACACCTGGAAGCGGAGTTGTGCGCCGTCGGCGAGACCGGCCTATGGTTGCACTTCATCCTCGACCAGATCGGTCAGTTCAACGGCGTCGACTTCCTTCCGCCGCTTGACACCACCGAACGCGAGCGCTGGTACAAGAAGCACCTCTTCTTCGCCCGCAACGACAAGGAGCAAAAAGAGCTCTCCGCCTCCAGCCACCAACGTTGGACGCGGCAGTTGTGGACGACCAACAAGGTGTTCTGCAAGCGGAACGTGCACGCCGCTCGTGCCGGAGGTGCGCAGGAGCTAGCCATTGAAGGGACGCCTCGCGCCGAGATCGCCGAGCTGGGTCACTGGGCACTCGACAAGATGACGCGTGCTTACATCACAGCCATTCCCGTTGGGGAGGTGTTGAAGAAGGCCGGCTACTCGGGTTGCAAGCAAGACTACTTCTTGGGTCGCAGCAGGGTCGAGCCCTCCGACAAACTCTTGGACATCATCGCCGAGCACATCTTCCCCGGCGTGGATGCTCTGCTGCGCGATGTATGTTAATAGACGCCGACAATGACCTTACGTCGCCATTGCTTCGTTGGCTGCCCATCGCCTTACTAACCCACATCACCTGCCGATGTGCAGGCGGAAACACGAGCTGCCAAAGAAGGGAGCGACGCCGACAAAGCCGCCGTGCACTTCTGGCGTACCCTCCAGATGATGCGCCACATCGTCGCCGAGGACCTCGCGGTGAAGCTCGTCCGCACCCCTTGGCACCCGTACGTCCAAGGTTCGAAGCTCTGCCGGATTGCCCTCTTTCAGCACTGGGCGAAAAGGGTCGAGAAGATCGACACCGAAACGATCAACAAACGCCGGGACCCAACCCTCATTCAGGCAGAGGTAAACCGTCGCTAAAGTCGGCGTCGTCGGGACCCTATCTGTTACGGGTGTATTCTAAACAATTTTCGCCTTTCCGCCTTGTGCTGCAGGAAATCTCCGTTCGCTTGGACACCGAATACCATAACATGTCCCTCAAGGAGACGCTGAAGTACGAGAGGGAGCGCGCCGCGGTCGAGAAGATCGACCTTCAGGATGAACTCGAGAAGCGCGACGATACCATCGCGACGCTGACCGCCGAGATAACCCGTCTCACCGAGGCACTCCGTGTGTCAGAAGCACGGAGGATGCCGGAGACGCCGCCGTCGGGGAACGAGCAGACGCCAAGCGAGAGTGGCTCCGCGGATTCGGCCAGTCCGGGGGCCAGAAACAAGAAACGGTACGAGAAACCCCCACAGACGCTCGACGAGGCTCGTTACGAGCTCAACGTGGTGCAACCTTGGCGGGAGTCAAAGACCGTGAGGGACGCTTGGCGCCTCTGGAACTCCGCCACCGCCGATGACACCCGCCGTCTTTGCGATAGGGTCGCCGAGCCGGGATTCGTCGACCGCCACACCCTCCTCAAAGGCGCGACGCAGGGTGCACACGACATGAAGGTGCGCCGCATGCTGAAGGCCATGGATGCGGTGCGCCTTCTTCGCTCGAGCGACGGCGATTCCGACACCGAAGCCGTCGTGGCTGCCCTGAACAAGATCGCGGCGCCGGGCATCGGGACCTTCTGCGATGCCCTCACGGTGCTCAAACCGGGAACCGCACCGACGAAGTCCAAGGAGCCCGGCATGGGCGTCAAGGGGCTGGGCCCCAAGTCGGTCTCGAAGCTACGTCTCGCCTGTGCGCTGGTGGCGGTCAACTTGAAGCCGACCGCTTGGGTCGCCGTCCTGTTTCCAGACACCTGGGAGGAGCAGATGCCGAAGACCGTGGCGGACATGGAGCGGCAGACCGCACCTGTGCTGCATCCTCCGACGAAGCACAAGA